AGTTCAGTTGCACAAGGGAAACTTCATCATTAACTTTCATGATAAACCAGCAACAGAGTTTTCAAAAGCAAACAGCAGTCCAGAAATGCCTCTTTCTGCAGGTGGGCTATAGCCAGGCAGGCCACTGCCTTGTGGAAAGATTGGAGCCCCAACATACTTCTTTTCCCTGTCTGGATTTCCCAGTCTTTCTGTGCTAAGGTCTCCTGGACACGCCGTTCTGCAGAGTTCTTTCCTAGTAGTTCTCCTCTTCTTTCCTCCTACCTCTTGAACCTCCTCCTAATTGTTTCTTGGTCTTCCAAGTTACCCTTCTGTCTCCCACAGAGATGCTAATGAAGTGTGAGTGTACATGGATACAGGCTGCTTGGGAATTTGAAAGGGCTCTTGCCCAGCCCTTGTTCTCTCATTAACCTGCTGCTGTGTGAAGAAGGAAGCAAGAGAGCGCCTGGTTTAGTCCCCATCTCAAGCCTTCCCTTAGCAATCCGAGCCCTTGAATATATATATATTTCTTTCAATATATGAAAAAGTGTTATTTTGTTTATTAGGAGTGGAACTTGTGCCAACAGAATTGCCTGTGTAATCCATTTAAATCAAGAAGTTACATGCTGACACGTTAGCTGGGAGCAGAGCTCCTTTTGCCAACTGCTTTAGGGGCCATGAGCTCAGATTCTCCCCTGGCTTCATGCAGGTGGTGCCCAAGCATGGCTTTGTGTCCTGTCTGAAGAAAGATTAGTCAAAGAAGTGCTGAGCTGAGAGCAGGGACCCCCTACCCGAGTCATTTCATGCTCATCCTACTCAGCATCCTGGAGAAGAGCAGCTTGCTTTGTGTGTGTGTGTAAACAGCAGCTCAGCGAGCTGTGTGATAAAACTGCAGGATTTAAGGCTGGAGAGTTCAAAGGAATTGGGAAGTGGAGCTGCCTGTATCTATTAAAAGCAATGGGATGTGTCAGGCTGGATGAGATGGTTTTGCAAATAGCAGCCAATGTGATTTGTCATCTCACAGCCTCATTGCTTAATAGGAGCAATGAATCAGAGCAACTTGCTGAGCAGAATCTGCACCCCCTAAATAACCAGGAAAAGAGGGACACATCACCAAAGGGAAGGGTGGGTCCCATGAAACATTTCAAAGCAAGTGATATTTTCTTTATCACTTCATGTTTTCCATAGACACCACATTTTTCATACAGGAACTCAGCTGTAATTCCTATCTTTCTTTACAAGTAAATGATGGATGCTTCATCCCTGGCAGTGTTCAAGGCCAGGTTGGACAGGGCTTGGAGCAACCTGCCCTAATGGAAGGTCTCCCTGTCCATGGCAGGGGGTTGGAGCTGGAGGAGCTTTAAGGTCCCTTCCAACCTAAACCAGGCTGGGATTCCATTAAAAATATTGACAGTAGTGGACAGTCTCCTTCCCCCCCTCCAGGTTTCAACCTTATGACACATAAACACATTGGCAGCAGCTCTACAGAGGGGGATGCTCTTTCCAACTTGCTCTCCATCCCAGTGTTACAATGGGATGCAGTTTGGCTTTCCTCAGCCTGGTCAGACCCGAAGTACCACATTTTGATCTGTCTGCTGACTGCCTATTGTGGGAAATTTGGAGGAACTCCACTGAAGTCAATTGGGTTGCCCTGGATTTACAGTGCTGTAAATGAGATCAGAATTTGGCTCAAAGTATATTCCATTAATGAGTCAGATACTGGCAGTGCAGCCAATATGCACCCAGAAATGGCTTTAACACCGCCTAGGATATTCAGAATTGTTTTATGGGAAGATGGGCTGAAGGCCAGGATTCTGGGGTTCTCTTTTATTCTTTCCATGAAATACACCTTTATGCAAAAGGCCAGCACGAGGCTGATGCAAAACTTAAGAGCCATTTAAAGCTCTTAGAATAGGGTAGTATGAGATGCATAAACATTGTGCTGAGCTCTTTGCCCACCCCAGAGCAGATTTATCACTCAGAGTTCAAGACATTCTAGGATTTATCAAGTTTTACAGGATTTCATAGATTTTTCTGTACATTAAGTGACACAGAGAGACAGTTTGTAAAATACAATGGCAGCAGGGATGATCTGTTGCAGGCCATAGATGGCACAGGAGGACAAGGGTTCACAGCTGGCAATTGGAAAAGCTACTAGGGGAGAGAGAATAAATAGGGATTAAATGGTTTTGCTTGGGAGGAAATCCTTTGATCAGCTCCTGAAGTCTTTAATCCAGTGTAACTCAAGTAAACACCTTACCTGAGTGTAAGCAGCCATATCCCAGGCTCTTCCTCTGCATCCCAGCCCCACGCAGCTCCGGTTGTGCTCTGCTTTCCCGCCCAGTGATGCCGATGCGGTTTGTTTTGAAGACCTCCCTATAAAGACATCTTTTGTTAGAGGTGCAGAATCCCCTCCTTGTGACTCTGCACATGTCTAGAGACATCCCGGGTGCTGTCTGTCTGTCTGTGCCCAGCACTGGCCTGGACCTGAGCATGCAGGTGTACAAGTGCAGGCTGAGATCCATGGAGGCCGGTGTGCGAGCGCAGGGCTGTGGGAAGGGCTGACTCCTTGTGTGCAGCCCAGGAGGCTGAGCAGGATGCATTTCAACCCCTGCTGGGCTACTTACTGACAGCTGGTTATCCATGGAATCACGGAATGGTTTGGGTTGGAAGGGGCCTTAAAGCTCCTGCAGCTCCAACCCCTGCCACGGGCAGGGACACCTTCCACTAGAGCAGCTTGCTCCAAGCCCCTGTGTCCAACCTGGCCTTGAACACTGCCAGAGATGGGGCAGCCACAGCTTCTCTGGGCACCCTGTGCCAGCGCCTCAGCACCCTCACAGGGAAGAGCTTCTGCCTAAGAGCTCATCTCAGCCTCCCCTCTGGCAGGTTAAAGCCATTCCCCTTGGCCTGTCCCTACAGGCCCTTGCCCAAAGCCCCTCTCCAGATTATAACAATAAATTGATATAAAAGTAAAATATTCTAACAACCCTCTTCAGGTTATCAGTGGTCTGTGCTCTGTTGGCTGGTTTTGTGTAGCCAGTGTTACCGTGTTCCTACTGTAGGTAATATTACATAGGTGTTCCAAGTAGTGAGCACCTTTCCTATTTATCTTCTCCCAAAACCCTAAGTAGCTCTGCAAGAAGACCTTTAAAATACCTGGAGCACTCCAGAGAGCGGGGTGTGTGTGGAGTCTGTGTGTGCAGATACAGGAGCCCCAGGAGCTGTGTGGCTATCTGGGAGCATTGATCCCAGCAAGGCAAAAGGAAACGTGCTTCGAGTCCACATGATTCATTCTGGCTTGAGTCCTTCAAGCTATTTCCAGTGTTGCTTCAGATTCCTGAAAAGCAGAAAGCAGGACTGTGAACTGAGGGAGAGGTTGTCATCACCACATCCTGTGCACAAGAGCAGCTCGGGGGCTCACAGCAATGGGGATAGAGCAGATACGGTTAAATCTGGTGAGGCTGAACCAGAGATGTTGCAGGTTTCCGAGAGTCCCATTGCAGCACCAGGACTTGTCCCCTCACAGGGGAGGATTCAGTTCATCTCAGAGACGGTGCCACTGAATCGCGACAACCTTCACGCTGGCATAGGCAGGGTGGTGCTACAGAAAGCAGGGACGTGATTCTGGGTTTACATGGAGTAACGGTGCTCAGAATCTGTCCCAGAGCTGTTTGCCAGCCCTAATTACACTGACTTCATAGCTGATGCACTTGCACAGTCAGCTACTCCTCCCTCCCTTCTCCCAGCCGGGTGAAATCACCTCATCCCGAAGGCAGCAGAGATTTCTCCACTGAGGTTTCTGTAAGGTCACTCACTCCCACAGTCTTTGCAGACCAGACACCACAGCCTGAAAGATGGGACCTACCCCAGTGAGTGCTGGTATCAACAAGCCTAGGTATAAATGGGAATTGCAGAGTGGCTGCCCCTTGGGCACCTCGCCTGCTAATTTGCACTTAGATAGGTGCCTTTCTCTGAGCACTTTATTAATTAAGGCTTGCAGCCCACCTCTAAGGCAAAGAAGTTATTACTGCCCTCATTTTACAGCAGCAACTGAAAGAAGTGGTTTGCCCAAGGCCACAAATCTAATCAGTGGCAGAAGCAGGAACGAGTGAGCTCTTCCAGTCTCCTGTGGTACTCACTGCGCCCCGCTGCCTACCTGGAACAAAATTAATGGCTTCCCTAAAAGTTAATGTTTTTGTTAACGTGATGTAAATGAAGATGGAGCACCCAAAAGGAGCCGTGCAGAGTGAGAGCTCAGCAGGCATCCTGCAGTAGCACAGGGGTAACGGTGTTGTCTCGTGTTGAACCACCAAACTATCCTGCCCATAAATTACGTACCTCTCCTTGTCCGTAAATTTAGCGGGAGGGTTCAAGCATAAATTTCAAAGAAGCTTTTATTGTAAGCAATGCATCAATATAATTAAACCCAAACACAATTCTTTTGCTTTCTTAGGCTGGAGAGAACCCTGTGCCCTTGGAGAAAATTGTTTCCCCTTTTCCTACAGGGATCCAGAGCCTGAGCAGCAGCTGTGAAGAGTGGAGAGAAAGAAAGAAGTGGAAGATGTTGGAAGTGCTTTGGGCAACGTGAAGAAGGATTTGCACAGAAGGAGCTGTTCAAGGGCCCAGCAGCAAACCAGAGACACATACATGCTTATATATAGAAGAATGTAAACCCTCCTGTATGCATACGTTAAGACGTGCATGCCTTGTTGAGAACGTAAGCAACATTCCTTGTAGATGATGGTGGTCTGAGCATTTGTGCTCCTGCAGTCTGAGTCAAAAGATTAGTGATGTCCTTGCTGTAACACTGGCAGTTTCGCCACTGCACCTTGTTTATGGCAACATAAACGTTCCTTTCGATGCAGTGGGGTGGAAAATACATCCAGAGTTAAGTACTACCTTGAGAGACCAAGCTTGCTGCGGGACGGGCACAGCCTTGCCGTGGGGCGGGCACGGGTGCTTGGCAGCTTGGACGACAGACAGTCTGTGTGTGTATATATTCAGTGCTATAGCACCAGGTGAGATAAGCTGTTCTTCTGACCTTAGTTTCTCTGGTGCTACATTTCATATTTGTCTGGGGCTAAACTGCCTCTCTGTGGTGCTACAGTTTCCCTGAGAGGATGTTCTGAAACATGGGACAAGGAAAAATCTATTTTGGTTATTGATATTTATACACAAGATAGCAAAAAAATACTACTTGTTGAGAAGGTGCTATTACTTTTTCTTTCTTTCAATCTCTGCATAAATTAAGACAAAACAATCTAGCCCAGAACTTTATAAAACACATTTTCTTTGGGGCAGTTCTTTTTCTTTGGATGGTTGGGAGCTTGGGAAGCAGCATTCGCTGGGCTGGCAGTGACACACCAGCTCTTTTCACTGCAGTGGACGTCTGCTGGTGCAGAATCTCCTACAGCTCCAGAGCTGGGTATCCTCCTGGATGGTGATTTAAGCCTCAAATCCCATGAACCAGGGAAGGGAACTGCATCTAGACTAATCAATAAACTGGGGGATAACAGGAGAACCTGTCCTTAGAAAGCAAAGGGCTTTTTTCAGTCTAGTACAGCGCACTTTTTTCTTGCAGCCAAAACTACCTGTCAGATGTAGGATACCTTCCAGAAGCTACTGACAGTGATCACTGTGTGCAGGGTTTTAGAAACATTTCTCCCAGTTTCAGATATTTGCACCGCAAAATTGACCCTCCCGTGGCAGGGGGGGCGGTTTCAAGGGCATAAAGGAATGTCAGGAACCTGACTTCCGAAGGAAGTTTGGCTCCCTGTCTTTTTAAACCCCTGACCCTCACCCAAGGAACAAGGCAAGTCAAACCTTGGGCTCTTCACTACTGCAGGAGAAATGTTTCTAAGCAATCTCAAAGCTCAACTCTCCCCTTTATCAACTATTCTTCAATGTTTTGGGCCCCTGCACACATCTTCATGGGTATTACTGATCCCAGTCAATTCACAAACAGCAGAAAGGGCTATGCTGAAAGAGCAAATTGTTCCTAATGAGTAACCTTGCCCTACTTTAGATTATGTGCAGCGTTGGGAGGGATCATGTAGCTACGTGTAGTTTGTCTGTTGATAGTTTCGATGGTCTCACAACTACGGGGACCCACAAAACGTTTTCCTACCACTTGGGGCCCGATGCTCAGCATCCTGTCCCCTTCCTGCCTCAGCCTCCTGCTGAGATAAGTAAGAATTCTTCTAGCAAAAGGAGGAGCCTCAGCTGATTTCAGCAGTGTTGCAGGTGCTGGATCAGGCATAGTCTTAAAAATAGAACTTTCTGCAGATCACTCAAACGAGGGAGTGGAATTGTGAGTACAGTGTTGCACAGTCAGGTTGGAACAGGACATGGGGAGGACGGGATGGGGAACTGCTCTACAGGACATGCAGCCTGCAGGAGGCCTTCCCTCCCCTACACCATCCTCCCTCCCCATGTGTGTACCCCACGTACCCAGAGGCAGCCTTGTGCCAACCCATCTGGCACAGGATCTGGCTTCCATTTCTCAGTGCAAGACAGAGGCCTCTTCCACATGTTCCTCACCTTTAACAACCATTAGCTCCTGAGTTCTGAAGGTTTAGTAAACTTCTTACCTGAAATATGCATTATTCCATTTGCTCTCCCATCTCTGGGCATGCAGGATGTGCTGCTGCTGGCTCTCCTGCTGTTGGGGTCTGCAGGCAGGGGACTTCTTGAGGCATTTTCCCCAAAGAAATTCCCCTGAAACACCACAGAGAAGGAAGAGGAAAGGAAGTTCTGTCCTTCCCATGAGTAAGGTCCTTACCTTGGGAAAGACCCTTATATCAGTGATCAACCTCGGTAGCAAAGCGATGGGCTCATCTGCCTCCATCCTAACCCTCCGAGGACAGGCTTTCTGGTAAAACCCCCAAGCCTCAGAACTCCCAGGGATCAGTGTCCTCCTTGGTGGTTCCTACTAGTCATCAAAACCATAAGGAGACACACGCTGCCCACTGCTACTCATATGAACCAACCAAACCTATGGTGCTTCCCAAGTGAAAACAAGAGCAGGTCCAGTACCCCAAGTCCTGCTTTAATCTTGGTTTGCTTCACTTTTGTCATTCTAAATGGGATGTTTGGTGTGAACCACGGGTTCAGTTTTGGACACTTTCATCTCGTAGTTGCTGGGTCAAGTGAGCTTTGCTAGAGGAGCAGCTTACCAGCACTTCACAGCCAGCATTCACTGTACATAAATGGCATTACTTCCTAGAGGGTACATGTTTGTCAAAGCCTTACATTTTCTGGTATAATTGCTATTCTTGAATGCTTCCATTTTTTGACAAGGGGTGTTTTTATCCTTTTTAAAGTCCTTGCTTGAACCCTGGTTGATGTTTGTACTGCAAAAGCAAGCATGCTGCGTACTCCCCTAGCGCTGTTCTGACTGCACTGCAGCAGCTGTGTGAGATGGTGGCTTCTGGACCGTACTCATGGGTAGGAAACCAGCACAGTTCCTCGCTCGTGCTCCTCTGCCTTCTCCCTCACAGCAGCCAAGAAGTCATTGATTGTGATGAGCTCTGCAGTTGTGCCTCTCTAAAGAAGGGGAGTGCTCTCTAAATGAGAAAGGCCTCATCTTAGGTTTCAGCAGGCGGTGTGTGTGAAGGCCGAGGAGGAGGTTATGAGATCATAGTCTGTACAGAACACCACATAATGTGGCCGTGAGGAAAGTCGTTATTAATTTTTAAAGCTGCACTCCACCAGGACAGCTCCCAGCACACGCTGGAACTTCACACTGGAATAACAAAGCTGCTGTGCCCTGTGAAGCTCCTCTCCCCCAGCCTGGTGTTAAGTCCTTTGGCCAAATTAATCCTAGGATAGCACTGCTGTCTGCTTGCACGTTACACCCAGGCCAGGATGAGGCCCATTAATTCCACATTCCTTCCTCTTCTCTCTTAGGATTATTTTCAGTAGTTAAAGTAATATGGAATGGGACCAAGCCTCCTGCCATACACTTTCATGTGGCCAGGAGAGGCATCACCCAAACCAGTGAGGTGTCAGTGGGGAGGAGCGAGATGCCCATCGTGCCTCTGGTTCAGGCATACAGAAGTGACCCTGATTCAGCTAAGCCCCATACTAAAGCAGTTTCCTTAAATCAGAAACAGCCACTCAATCAGTTTAATCTGATTTGGGAATTTGCTCTGTTTCTATCATGCTAAAATGATGAGAGACTTAAATCCACTGCAGAAGCAGAAACAGCTCCTTTGAAGGAAATGGATTACAATCTGTTTTGGTCAACCTGAGGCAGTTTTGATGTGCACACAAGCTGTGGGATCAATGCAATGTAAGATGGAACTGTTTGGTGGAATGCTGTTTGGTCCTGCAGGCTGAGCAGGCAGAGGAGAATCTCACAGGTGACAGGGGAATGGCAAATGGGGAAGTCCAGCTGAAGGAGAGCACAGCTGCACTGCCATGTACACAATGGCAAGGACAGAACAGGACATCTACCTTAACATTCAATGTTAGTTTTCCTGCACGTGGTTTTGAAACATCTGTGACTTGACAGACATCTAAGACATGTGCAACAAACTACCTGTGGCTCCACATTCAATCCCGGACCCATGTTTTTTGTCCATGTCAAAACCTGGCTATATTCTGCCTCCACAGAGGTGACCAGGACCTCCACATCTTCCCTTAGAGCAGATCTGCATTCTGTGAAAACACTGGGGTGTCAGCTGGTCTGCATGGAGGAGAGGAGTCCTCGAGTGCTGCTCCTACCTTGGCCTTCTAGTTCTGCCCTGGTCTGAAGGTGCAAAAGACCCTCCCTGCTGTGTACAGGTGTATATCCCTGTTCCCAGCAGGAGATGCTTTGGTGCTTCTTCCCTCTGCCAATCCCACTGGCTTGACTCACGTTCCATCTGTGTAACACAGATCTCAGTCAGCACATACCCCAGTGCACTGCCTCGCTTGGGCCTTCCAGACCACAGCTCTGCCTGTGGCAGGGTGACTGTTCCAGGCAAAGCTGCAGGATTTCCACTCCCAGTCTGCAAAAGAAAGTTAGAAAACACAAAACAAGTGATTTTCTTCCCCCTGAAAGTATTTATTTGAATCCAAGAGTGAATTTTGATGTTATTCCCATCAGAGTGCTTCAGAGTTCACCCTACTCAATCCTTGAGGGATTTAACAGGTTTTTCCAATATTTAAAGAAGGTGACTTTGGAGCTTGATAAATATTCACTGAAAGCATCTGGGTATTGAACTGCAATTATTAGTTACAGTTATTAGCTTCAGATGCCACCCAAGTAGAGAGCAAGGCCAACTGCAGTGGGGTTTGGTTTTCATGGGTATTCACATTTCCCATCAGTGTGAAGTCTAAACTTGATCACAAGAAAACTGTGTTCCCCTCACCTCTGGTCCACAGGATGTTGGCAGCGTCTCCAGCCTGCAGCCAGGCTCCAGGAGGTGAAGTGCAGTGAACACACAATGCTTTGAGCATGGCTGGTTTGGATTTAAACCCTGGCAGAGTCACTGTGCACGTTTCCACCCTTACCAAAGCAAGAGCAAAGCGAAGCTCACTGCTGAGCCGAGTTCAGGAAGGCTCCTCGTTGTGACTGGATGGGGCTTCTCTCTTTTGTAAAACGAATTTCTTATGCTGAGACTCTTTGTACATATTTATAATGACTTTATTAAAAAAAGCAAAAGAAAAATGACTGTTCAATGGTGAAAATGGCTCCGGGTCTTCATTTCCTCTCTGAAACTGGAGACAGTAATTTCCACTGTGGTTCCTCATCAGCTGTCGCTAGAGCTGAAGCTTCCCCTCTATGTTCCCTGGTCCAAATGTCCTATTTGAGGGTGGAAGCATCCTGACTCCCAATGCCACCATGTAACAGGCCCGGAGCAGCATGGGCTGCTTCCTCCCCAGAACGGGGACTGAAGGGGGTTGTGACAATTTAACAGTCTATAATAGTGGTCTGTGGTAAATTCCTCATCTTGCAGGAGTTAAGGTGATCTCTGTAATGCTTCCAGTAGAATAAACATCCAACATATGAATTTCATCACCTATTTAGCACTAATTCACCTTAATTCACTTTAGAGAAGTGGAGCACTGGGTGGCCCAGCACCCAAACCTGGTCAGAGGGAGGCACCTCCTGGAACGAAGGTCACCCATCAGATCGTAGTGCTGCATCTTGTCACTGAGGTACCTGAACAGCAACTCTGCTGCCAACTGGTAAACAACATTCAATAACATAAGAAAAAAGGCTGTAAGAATGCAAAAACTATTCCTCACCTGTCCCTTTGATCGCCTTCATTATCACCAAAGGAAAACAAAAACCATAGGAAATGGGATCAACTGCTATCTGTTGTGTTAGGCTCATACCGACCTTTCCATACACTGCTCCAAATACATTTCCAGGAGCATGTAGGAAAAAGATCAGAGTTAGAAGTGGCTTTTCAAACACTTTCAGGGCAGGTAGCACCAGCCCTGTAACGAATGGGCATCACCCTGCAAACTGGTGCTCAAACCTTTGTAAATCCCTTGCTACAGAACCAGTCATTTTCCCTTTTCCCTCACTACCACACTATCATACACAACGTTTCTGCGCCCACTGGAAACCTTCCTTCCTTCCTGAAGTCTTTTCCCCATCCCCAAAAAGGCTATTCCCATTAGAGATGGCCACAGACTCCTTGGCTTTCATGGGATCCATTTGACAACAATCAACTCACTTTCTTTTGGCAAGTGGAGCTTTTCCTCCTCTGCTCCCCTGTACCTCTCAAGCCAGATCTGGACTATCTTCCCCACTCAGGCTCTGCCTCTCCTGTTTCTCCTCTGGCTGTACTGAACTATTATTCCCAAAGAAATGTTGAGCCCTAATCCTGTTACCATTAGCTCCTGTTTGCTTTAATTCTCCCTGGGGAGTTTCCCAGCAGGAGGGGAAGGCAGCAGCCAGTACATACACAGAGGCTCATTTCCCCCAGGTACAGCTCTTCCTGATGATCCACTCAAGTGGATTGTAACCTTACAGCCATTTCCATAGTAATGAGCAGGGAAGATGCCACAGTTGCCTAATGAGGAGCTTTCTCTGGGCATGCAGCACAAAGCAGAGGTTGTTCAGTGAATGAGAAAGCTCCATCCCACAAACAACAACTCCATTTGTGTGGAGATGCCACTGCAGCAGCCTCAGCAGCGACGGGAACTGCAGCGACATGAAATGCGGTCATTCTGTTAACAGCACAAGGTATCCCCTTCAAAGAGCTTTTCCTTTCCACCACCACAGGTTTAAACCAGGCTGGCTCCTGAAGCTGCTGTGCAATTCTGCCCTCAGGGCAGGCAGCCTCAGGAAACTCAGCCTCCCTGATGCCCCAGTGCTTGTGGTACCAGTGGTGCTGCATAGACTCACATGCTTCCTGGGTTTGGACCCAGGCAGACTCTGGATGAAGCCACTGTGCCTTCCTCAGGGGCTGCACTGAGAAGCGTATTGCAGAGAGATCTAGATCTATGAGATGCTCTGGGTTAGGAGCTTGACTTTAACCTCTCTCTGCCTCCCACTGTTCTCCACATATGCTAAGAAATCAGAAAGTCTGATCATGAAAAGTAAACAGGAAAAATATTCCGGGTGTCATTTCCAGTGTCACTGGCATGGTCTTTCCCAAGTTCCTTGAGATTTCCAACCCATGCCATTTGTGGAATCAATTCCAAAACATGGCTGCTGGGAAAGGACATTGCTCCAACACGAAATGAAGTGGGGGCAGGAGGTTCTGAAGGGAAGCGTAACAGTAACAGCATAATTCTATGAGGTCAAAGATGCAGGGACGCTAGAGCCAATTCATGTGAAAAATCTCACAGCAGTTTGAGCCAGAGGGCAGCTTTTTCGCCATTATCAGTTATACACATGCAATTCACAGTACTCTTGCCTTATACATGCAATATTTAGCTATACTAAAAGGAGAGAAATAAAGGAAACACATCCCAGGCAGTTTACAGCTGCTTAAGTTCAAGACAAAATCTTGGCTGCAGCTTAGCCATGCAGTCTGCCATAACATAAACCACCTCTTCCTTGCCTCCGAGGATAAAGTTTCTGTGGCTCCTGGAGAAACAGAGCTGGAAGAAAGACTAAGATAAATCCATGGGCTACTAAACAGGGGCCTTGGGATCACCAGATTTTCCAGCTTTGTCTTCTCTCCACACATGTTATTCCATTTGTAATGGTTTTAATACACCTGGAAGTGAGCAGAGGTGGTGCCATCCTTCCAGCAACGCAGGGTTTCAACCGTGACAGAACGACAAAGAGGACAGGTCTTCTCCCGGTCAAACCAGAGGCAGAGGCATTCTTCACAGAACACGTGCTATGGAGACAAAAAGGCATCATCAGGATGAGGCCAGGAGGTCCAGTCTTGTCCCATTCAATAGGACAGCCATGGGAGCAAGGAATGATTCAGGTTCAAGTGGACAGTGGAGCTGGTTACCAGCACTCACATGATAAGAAATATAAATCCCAGCATTACTACTATTTCAGTTGGCCAAAGCTAGTGATATATTTACTGTTTGTTACTATAGCAGTAGAAACATTAAAAAGGCAAACATTAAAGCAACATCCGGGCCAACAAAGTGATTGACCATTTTTCCATCCTCGATACTTAGCTCAAACAACCCCTTCTCTTCCCCTACTCACTGCATTTGCTTTTTTGGGCTCACATAGAATCATAGAAAGGTTTGGGTTGGAAAGGGCCTTAAGATCATCCAATTCCAACCCCTTGCCATGGGCAGGGATGCCTCACACAAGACCTAAGGCTCTGTCCAACCTGGCCTTGAACACCACCAGGGATGGGGCAGCCACAGCTTCTCTGGGCACCCTGTGCCAGCGCCTCAGCACCCTCAGTTCCAGTTTCCCCTTCTCTATAAATGTCATTTTTCACTCCCTATCTTCTCTCATTTCAACACTGAGCCACAACAGGACTCTCCCTCCAGCCTGCCTTGGGTACAAGGAGGGATCAGGAGGGATGGCTGCCCAGCACACACCACCATCTAGCCCCAGGCTGTAAGAGCAGGAACAGGGCAAGAAGAGAGCATGGAGAACCTATAAGAAGCTGAGACCTCCTCAGCACATGTAGAGCCAGGAGAAATGTTACTCATTGGAATCTCAACTCTGATAAACACATACCAAGATAGAATCTCTGCGGCTGACAGCTTGATAACATCTGCACAGATGTTCACAGGAATAGTAAGAGGCACTTTTGATTCACTGTGACCTACTTGCTTTAATTTGATAAACCTGTTACAAAGCAGATAAAAATGCCTTGCATTCTAGATCCAAGATCTGGACTGCCAACTGCAGTGTCTGGACTACAAGGCTGGTCTTTTCCATCACATTAGCCGTGATCAGCCCCTAAATAGTGGCTCAGTAATCTCCAAATCACTGCCTGTCTGGAAGAAGGTAATAAATGTCCACAAAGACGTAGACTGAGTCCCAGTAAATTACTTCAGAAGTACCCAGGCTGACTGTGCCTCTCCCCAGCTGCAGAAGGTGAATGCCAATGGGGAAACCTGGCATGGGAAGCTGGGGTCTTACCTGGCATATCAGGATCAAAGGTTCCCTGAATTCTGCTTGGCAAATGGCACAGATGTCACCGGCCTCAGTGCACTGCTGGCTGGTGGCACGAACTCCATAGGTCTGTTATGGAGAGGTGGGAAAAAACTCCAGTGTCAAAGGGTTTGAAGATAATCTGGGTATATAATCTGCACGTATATATAGACACTGGTTTTCACACCCAGATTCCCTGCATGACCTGGGCAAGACACCTGTGTTATGTCACTGTGTATGGGGAAGAGAGATTTGGGCACCAGCACACAGGACAGAGGGAGTGGAGCTCTGTGTTCCCCAATTTGTTTTCCCCTCGAGCTGACTCCATCTTTTAGTGCCTCCACTCGGAGCAATGATAATGGAACGTAATGAGCTCAACAGGGAGCTGAAAGGATTAATTCAGCATCATTTACAGAGGTGTTTAGATAGTAGGAGGTATTATTAGTAGCAAGTTAGACAATAGAGGAAAGAACAACAACAGCAGCACCCACAGGCTTCCCACTTGTCTTTTTAAATATGTGGAAGGTAAATGTTGCTTCTCCTATTGGAACAGTAATAGGGGAAATAGAAATATGCTGAGGAAAACTGCCCAGCCCAAGCCCACAGAATAAGCAAGGCCGCTCCAACAAGCATCAGTGATGTTTTGTGTCCCTTTTCTCTACAGTCTTTGATTTTACCACTTTAAAATATGCCACAGTATTTCACTGCACGGATCTAAGTATCAGGACTGTATAATGTGATGCCTGGGATAATTCCTGTGCACTGCAGCATCTCTTCTAAAGTCACTGCACATCAGAAACTACATCCTTCTATTTGAAGTCTTTCTCACACTCTGCACTGCAAAGTTTTGTCAGCTTCTTGCAGCTTTGGCCTCAATGGATTAATCCATATTACACAGTGTTTCCAATCAAACAGGCCAGACTAGCAACAATCTCTTACCATAGCTGGGACAGGGCAGATACCAGAAAAGGTCCCTAACACCCCTGACAAGAGATACAGCTTATCCAGCCATGGGACAACAAATGACTTCATTCTGTGATCCTGATACACTGAGCAATTTTCAACTCCACAGTTCAACAGTAACAAAGTTCCACCTATGAAACTGCTCTAATGTGTGCGACTACTCACCTGTGGGGTGCAGAGGACCTTCAGAGCCTTCCTGACGCTTCCCAGACGACCACAGATGTCAAAAGACTGCAATAAAGACATTCCAGTTTAGATACTTTTCACAGAGTGTGTGTGCGCTTGTGTGGACAGTCCAGGAACTTGGGAAACAGTGGCTCCAAATGGATACTCAAAGGGAACAAACATCCTAAGTAACGATGGTGCCAAAAAAGATCTCATGGTGATCATGAAATAAGTGATAAATGTGAACTGACAGGGGAGAATGGTGGCCAAAAAAGTGCCGGTAACAATGGACTGCAGAGCAGAGACCTTACCAACAGAAAGAGGAGCAGACACGAGGGGTTTGTGGTGGGGCAAATTGTCCAGCCCTACTAAGCAGGAAAGAGCTAAAATGGACCCATTCCCACCATGAGAACTGAGGACCTGAGAAGCCCAGAAGTGAGGTTAGAAAACACTGTGGCTAGCTTGGGAAAGAGGAAAGGAAAAGCAGCCTTTTCACATGGAAGAAGAAGCAAGCAGCTTTCCTCAGCCTCTGGGAAAAGGGAACTGCCACACAGCTTGACACTTGAGGGCCCAGATGATACTCTGCCTGTCCTGCTGCTGAGAGTGATTTAGGGGATTAGATGCTACAGTGAGAAGGATGACCTGAGGAATGAGGAGCAGGACTGAGGCTGGGTTGCTCCCACCCACCTAAAGAGTGAGAAACTTTAATTGCCAGGAAGGGGGTGAGTGTCCAGCACGTTGGTTCTTTACAGATGCCCAAAGATGGCCAAAAGCAGGGGCAACACCAGCCCTGTTCTTTCCCCCTCCCTCCATCGCCCAGCAAACATGGTGTAACTACAGGTGGTGAGCAGCCTTCATTCTGGGCTCCCCATTGAACACTGAAAGCAGTTCAGGGAAGGGCAGAAAATGAGTTTGCAGAAAATGATTGCTGAAAAGAGACTAAAGGACATAAGTATGTACAGCTTGTCAGAATACAAAAGTGGGAGGAAAAGATGATAAACTGCCTACAAGTATCAAGGGGCTGAGCAAGAGAGGAGACACTCAACATTCCTGAAGTGAAGACATAGTAAGAAGCTTCAGCTTCCCTATCTGCTGGCAGAACACAGGGAAGAAGACACTATGAACACTAGGAAGATACGAAGAAATGACTGCAAAGAACAGCCCTGCATTAGTGGGGAGAAGGGACAGATGATATAACAGGACCTTTCCATTTTGAACCCGCATGAGTGAGAAGCAGGTATGAGGGCAGCGTTGATGTGAAGCAGGACATGCAGAACTGCACCAGCTCTGCATGTACAAAGGCTCACCAGTACAAAGGCACTAGAAGGCCTGGAGCTGGCTTTCTATTGTTTTCCCTTTTTGGTCAGCGTGATTAAGTGGGCTCACTGCAGGGAATGCCAATGAGATCATCAGGCAAGAGATGTGGAATCAAATGAAGGCACCAATAATGCTTCCAGTCAGCACGTAAAAAGGCTCCCATGGTCCTTGTAGTAATGCTTCCAGTCAGCAGCTAGCACTTGAGGCTGCCCACTACTACACTTTGTATCATCTAACAAGGATAAGAATCAGCTCTTCTCTACAGTCCAATTCAGAGCTTTTTCTGGTTGCTTTGCTTATAGCATGACTTCTAACATCCCTGCTCTGGCTCTGATGTCTCCTCTACTCCCAGCCCATTTATCCCCCTTCAGTTTCTTTTCCTCTGGAGTTTTCTGTAGCCCCAAAAGATGCATCTTACAGTTGTCTAACATCCATTTATCACCCCATGCACTGAAGTTGCATCAGTCATCTTTCTAGCAATATGATTGCAGCAATTGGGTTCACAAACAGTGAGTGTTTCTGTTCAGGACAGGGAAGAAGTTAAGACCTGATGTCCTTACTGATGAACATCTGAGATTTCCTTGTCAAAATCACAGATCCATGTTTATACCGTCCAGAGAGGGACACCAAGACAGCTCCCATCAGCTGTGCTATATACACCCTTCTCCAGGTTCAGCCTGCCCTTTGTGTAGGGAAAGGGGATGCTGAGCCCTGGATTTCTGCCAGCAGCACAGAAGCTCTGAGTGCCAAATTGGCTTCTGTGGTTTTTCTAATGTGGTTTGTGGCTTTGCTAATGTGGACTCCTTTGGGTATACTTTCAGTGTCTCAGACAAAGAATTAGACCTGCAACTCCTGTGATTGTAGATGGGATGCACACACCTAACATTTCATGATCTGTATGGGAAGTGTGCTCTCACTTTTCTTCCACTTCCAAGCAAAGTCTCTCATGTGCAGAGGTCTAATCCTAACCTGGACACACGTGTGGTACTCAGCAGTTGCCACATACCGTGGTACTCAGCAGTTGTCACATAATGACCTGGGACATGTTCCTGGACCTATCACCCTTCAGCTGGCCTATACTTCCGTGGACATCTTTGATGAACTAGATGAATTAAAGAAAAAAACAAGAATGTCAAAGGCACAGGCTGTAGCCAAAGCACTTTCACAAAGTGTGCACCTCAGTCCTACCCTAAGGTATAGCCAAGGCTGGTAAATACCTGCCCTCTCCTCTTCTAAACAACTGATCAGCAAGACTTTCCAAAATGGGGCTGCTTTTCAAATCTCGATCATCACAACATTACCTATGAAGGCTTCATAGTACAGAAACATCAAGTTAAACCATAAAGAACTGCTGGCACCTATGTGTCAGGGCCCTAAGTGCATTAATAGGCCTGCAGGGCCCTGACAAGCTTCACCTGGGGTGCCTACCCACAATCCCTGCCCATGGGAAGGGAAGCTCAGCCTGGAAGCAGCAGTTCATGTCTGAGCTATGATATGCAAGTGGTGGTTTCCAGTCCAGCCACAGCCATATCTGTGCCAAGCTACAGATTCCACTGACCTGGACACCCCAGCATGTGGATTGACTTCCTACCCTCACCTTGAGCCAAGGAACACATGGCCCCCACTGCTTCTTCACACTCTAAGGGCTTCTCCAAATATCAGAAATGGTGTGCAGAACTGCAGATAAGAGTCCCTTTTCCAGGTGTTGAGTAACTCTTGCAAGAAGGGACACCAGATCTCTCTTTGTAATTGTGAAATGTGTGCTTGAAAGGTTGAATATCGTCCAAAATGGAGCCAGGCAATGACATCTATGAAAGGGGCAACAAAAATCTCCAGCAGGACAGAGTAAAGAGCAGGAAATATACAGCTAAGAGAATGAATGGGTGCGTAGGGCATTCCACTGGTCTCAGGTTCTTTCTGTTCTGGCATAGTTTGCTGTGCTTCTGGCTTGATCACAGACCTGCTGTGCCCAAATCACTTCTCACAACTTCCTCTGCCTATCTTGCTTACAAAACCTGTATGTTTCTTGGCAGCAGGGGTTGCAATGCTCCATTCCTATACAACATATAGATGCAACTGCAGGCACATCTTGCATAAGATCTATTTTATGGTTTAGTTATGACTCAGCAATCCATTAGCCCCTTTGAGCTGTTTTCAGCTCAGCTGTCTTCTGTTCTTCAGTCTGCTTCTGCAAAGCCATAGCCCCTTTTTCTTAGGCACAGACAAATATCAGGGCTGCAGCAAGCTTGAATCACTTGGCCTTTCTCAGAGATGGACAGCACAGATACATATATCCTTATTCAGCTACTGCTTTGCCTTTAGGCAGGTTTCAATGCACACAATTAGATATACAACTATTTCTGGACCTCAGACTTGGGACACCAAGTAAGTCACACCTATTTCCAATTGTACAGCCAGACTTTGTGCTCTTAATGCTTGTGACGAAACATTACTCTTGTCCATTGCTGAGATCCTGGACTTGTATCAGCCAGAATGGGGCCAGAACTATCTGTTTTACTTCATCAGGACTTGGATGACTCTTTCTCTCCCTGCTCCATTGAGTATTGTGACTAACAGAGTACCTACCCTGCCTTGAAAGGCAGAGGAAGGCTTTGAGAGAAACATTTAACTGCAATCTTCCTTCTGGTGTTGCATCTAGAAGTTTAGTGACAGTTAACATCTCTTCCAGTCCTGGTCCCCAAGACTCCACTCCCATTCTCTTTTATAGAAGGGTATTAGAAAGCAGCAATGACTTCATAAGCCTGATGCAATGCTACATGAGGACTCACAGATTTTCCTCTAGCTCATCAATGCCCACATACTGGTGAAGCAAAAGGCTTTTGGCAACTGAAGCACATGGTGTTCCCATCTGCTGCAGCTTCCCTTCCTGCATAGTGCTAGCAACAATCAAGAGGTACATTTGCTCCCTTCAGCTGTGCTTCTCACTCTGCTCTTGCTACAGCTCCCATAGAGGTTATTAGGGACGTGGTACTTACCTTGCAGAGGCTGTACAGGATAATCAGGATCCCACCAAGGAAGTAGCTGCTGGATGGATCATCTCCCATGATGTATTTATACCATAGCTGGATGGGGACAAGGGAGCGGAAGAGCTGGCTTAGCTCCTCTATAATCAGGTAAAACTTCCCCTGTAAAACCCAACCAAACAAGGGGCACATCATTACTATCAGGAAGGCAAAACAATAACACTTAGTTGATGTAGGGCTTGTGTTCCCTGTCCATCTGCACACTGCTAACTGGTGCAGAGACCAGTACTCATGACATGCAGCTTTCTTTGTAGCCATTTAACTTGGGGTGTAGAAAGGATAACTCACTTCATTGTTTCATAGTGTTCTTGCTCTGCCACTTACCCAGCTATTCTACACTTTTGCATCTTAAACTCTTAGAGCAAGTTATGGATATAAACCTTATTGCTGATCTGGACAATGCTAAAGAATGCTAAAAGCAGGGTTTAAGACTTACAGGAATTAATATGGCATAAGTTGTAGATACTGTTAATGATGAGAAAAGGAATGCAAGGTAGGTGTCTCTGATCCTGTACCCCTTCTGAAGCTACAGTGATTAAACTGCTCTTCCTGACAACTTTCTAGATCATCCCAAAGAATCAAGTTCATTATCTATTTGCCAGCATCCTTCCACTCAGGTGTGTGTTGGCTCTTGTGCATTGTACAGTACACAGATAAGACTGGCGCTGAAAGAAAACGCAAACCCTCAAGGCATTTTGAACTGAAAGAAACAAACCTTCCTGAGGGCCTTAAGGAAGAAAAGGGGGGGGGGGGGGGGGGGAGGGAGGAGGAAGTTTAAACACTTCTCTCTCAAAAGAGACTCAAAGAATGAGTGCCATCCTTTGTAAACCTGCACAAAAGCTGTCCTTGCCCTTCTGGTGTTTACTCCAATAGAAAGCTTTCCTTCCCTGAAGGACACCTGCAGGGTAACAAACTCCCTCCTGGCTTACACAGCCATGAGATGCAGCAACTGAAATGTCTCTTTCTTACCATGTAATTTCTATTAAAAGCACATAAGATTAGGAAAGCTGGCTAAGTAAAGCTCTAATTTAAACCAACTCCAACCCCCTACTCCTTCCTCAGTCTTAATGAGGACCCTTTATGTTCTGTCCCACACTGTTTAAAAGGGAGAACTGGTCACAGGGCTCCAGGTCAGGGCAAGCTGTGAATGCAGAACTAGGCTTAACCTCCACTGACACTATTAGGACTGAAAGATTTGGTTTTAACATGTCCAGGTTCTTTTCTTTAAGATCATGGAGCAGGGGAAATTCCCCTGGAATTCTGCTGTGCTGTCCCGGTCAGCTTTGTCATCAGTGATGTCATCACAGGGCAGTTGCTAACTGGGGAGATTTGGAGTGGGGATTAAGTCCTGTGCAGCCCCTAAGCAGCAGCGAGTGCCCCTCCCCAGGGGCTCAGAGATGAGCTCACTCCTCAGGCCGTCCTGCTGCACTGAGCAAATCGAATCCTTCAGAGGGCTCTGGCATGCTCATGATCTCATATCCCCCCGGGGACAGGGAGTGAGGTCACACCAGCGGTTGCTAACGGACCTGGGCTGCTTTCTTCTTCTCCCCCGTCCAATCCCCTCCTCCTTGTTAATCCCAGGTGGCATCACATAGCAAAAATGGAATAGCAACAATCTGGAGTCCTAAATGCAAGCAATTTATTAAATTAGCACAGAGGTCTCTATCCAGCCTCATGCTTCAATGCAATCATCGTTTATTTCAGGTGCCCTTGTGACAGAGGGTCGCAGTCTGCTAATGACTATGCTGTCACTTCCTTCCCTTCACACAGGCAGTTCTCTGCCTCCCCCTCCTCAGCCAGCTCTGATGAAAGCTACAGCAAGCTAAAGGCAGCAAACTGCTTTCTCTGACTCGTTCCTCCCATCAGGCTCGCACTCATCTGCTTTTATTCAGCCCTGCTTCCCTGGCAGACTGGGCTGGGACAGGTCACTGCTTACTTTCTCATTGCATCAGACGGAGCTTCTCGATCCAGCATTTGGGGCATCAAAGCTGAAATACCTCTACAACAGAAGCTTTTGAGGCATGTAAACACCAGAACCCACAGCAAAGCATAAGGAAAGATGGGTCACAGGCAGCCCTAGAGGTCCAGACAAGCTGCACAATTGGAAATGGCAGAGTGCGGCTCTAAAATGAGTATGCAACAAGTGACACACTTCAATTTTCTAACCACAAAACCTCCACCCTTTACAATGCTTTCAAAATCCCTTTATCTAATACAAACCTTCAGTTCTCAGTGGTAACTGCAGGGTATCTGGATTTCTTGGCAGCTAGGTACTTATTTACACTGTCACAAGAGTGAAGTCAAGCTTTAAATGGGTGCATCTCTCCATCCAGCCCCTTAACGCCAGCCACCTGACCACTGATAAGCTTGGAGTGATTACAGCTAGGAGGAGGGAAGCAATACAAAGAAGCTGAGCATCATTTAGAGAAGTAGTTCTACAGTAAATACTTTTAGAAATGTACTGTCCTGCATCTCAGTCCTCAGTGTAACACACCAGCCCTTTTTAAACTAGGAACGGTGCCTAGAAAATCAGCATTAATTCTACAGAGGACTGCAGCAGAAATGGAGTTTTCCTTCTGAACCTAAAGCTTAAAGAACAGGGATTGTCCCCTACAATTCCAGCAGCAAAATCTAGACTTCTGATAGCAAAAACTTACAGCAGATGGCACCCATCACTGGGTGGAAGCACACCCAATCTACCTGTCTGTCATCTGCTTTTCAACTTTGTTATATCTTGGCTATCTAGGTTGAAGCTTGCAAAGTCAAATCTTTGTCTCAAGCTGTTTTTTGTCTGAAAACCTCAGCTAGAAGTACTTCAGCTACTTCTCATTAAGATTAGGAAGAGCTGTCTGTTATATAAAGCACAAATACAACTATTCCTCCCATACATCTGACTGTGAATGAAGCTTGAAATAAGGCAAGGCCTGCTTCTGTTAGGTGACTTCCTATTTCATAAAAAATCCATATAAAGAGGTTGAACAGCTCTCCAAGATCAGCAAAACCTCTTTTCGGTGAGCCTGTGAGCCAGCCCCAGTGCAAGACAGGGCTGTGCAGGAGCACACCTACCTTGCTGGACTACAGAGATTAAATAGCATGTTACCTGGAAGTATACCTGGATAAAGCCAGAGAAGTCTCTGTTCTGCTCTCATCAAGCTCTTGCAATGGCTTGGAGTTAAGCCTGGCTAAAAAGGTAGTACACTCCTTACCCTGCTTCCTCGGTTACTATAAAAGCTGACAGTCATCTACTACTGTTAGCAAACACTTCATTAGCACAAGTGGCAAAGGACTGTGCTGTGGATCCAGTTACAGCAACTCTGATGGGCATTATGATACCATGTGGTGAAACTGTGACTTCTCTTTTCCCAGTTACAAACTAAGCCAGTTACTTGTGTACAGCCCTCTATTTTTCTGTCTCCTTCAGCACATAAAGACCATGTTTAGCCTTTAAAGCAAGCACTTATTTTGAGAGCATAATTCAGGATTTTCATGCAATTGTGATTTTCTCTCTGTACAGGCAATACATTATGGTCTGTAATGATGTGATCACTATTTTTTCAGAGGGGGTGAGTGGTACTAATTAAACATGTAACTTGTGAGTACGGTTTCCTGCTACTTGAAGGCAGATCTGCATCCTATCACTTCATGTTATCTGAGCATTACTCAGAGTAGCCTATCACTAAAATGTCTTCACTCTCTTTAGGATACCACTACAGTAAAAGATGTTTTAAACCCCCATTACTTTCACATTGTTAGCTGACATAAGGGACAGCTATTTTCTCTACTTTCTAAATGAGAGCTCAAGACACAAAGACTAAGGTTAAGGTAAGGTTTTCTTGGTGTCTAAGTTGAGATGCCTGGGAGTAGACTTTTTATAAAGCACTTAATTTTATAGCTCACATTACCATTAAGAGCTAAAGCACTGACTTCAGTTTGCAGCTGTACATGACTCTTCTAGAATCACACAGGAATTATTTGGCAAATGGAGGATGGAACTGAATTCTCCAGTGTAGCATTCAACTTCAACTTGTAGAATACTCCTCTTCTTCCAATGGTCTCTTTGTTCTCTATGCTTTCCAGTTTCTACACCACCCTCTTTCAATACCTCACCTTGCTTTCACTGGTGATGGACGGAAGAAGTCTTACAGAAAAATAACATGGAATCACATAATTAAAACTTGAATCATAATTTAGAAACATCAAAGGGGGAAAATTACAGCTGCAGAAGCAATGCTAATTCCCATATAGTCTGAGCACTGACTTAGTGGTCCCTTTCGACATAAGGCTTTGCATACGTGTGCTCCACAGAAGGAAACAGGCATGCTAAGGTTTTACACAGCGGAATTAAAATGGGATGTAAGAGAAGTGAGAGAAGTTGCAATGAGGCAACTGTAAGTTGTGATTAGCACTCAAGGGAAGTTCCAAGTCTCACTTGTTCTGTTGCCAGCAGCATTAGGACATATTCTGAAACAGGAAGATGCTAGAAAAACAACTTTTGAGACCTGCTGGCAATTTGGATGAGAGGAAAGCAGGCTCTGCTGAGATTTCAGGTCATATTGCCAATATAAAGAAGTGTTGGGTAGGAGCAGTAAACAGGATTGTGGCACAGAGGATGCTGGTGAAAATCCATGCAAGACTAATGAGGAGTAATTCCAAGGTGGGATTAGAGGGGAAAATGAGATTTTTACTTGGTGCACAGCATGTCTGAAAGTCACATCTTGGATATCTTAAACTGGAAAGTCAAACTTGGCACAGAGGAGCAATGATTCCTTTAGAAACTTAGTAGCAGTGACTTTCAAAGTGTGTTAGGGAAAGGGACAGAAAGGAGTCCCAGCTCCCCAGTACCTAATCCTATGCTTTAGTTAGTATTTTTCTTTCAGAAGTAATAAATCCCCCACTTCTGACTCTGGGACATCACATCCGTCCCAGGCTGCAATAGGGAAAAGTCTCTGCAGAACCATCACGTAGTTCCTGTGGCTCCAGAGGATCAAAACTAAGGTTGTTGCCCAAGAAGAGTGAATCTATTTGAGTGAGTTCCCCCAAGTAGCATCCAAGATCACCAAGAAGAGGGTACAGAGAGGACAGTCCATTGCCTAGCTGGAAATGCCACTTTAGCCACACTATTAGAGAAGACTAGGATTAACTGGCATATCACACAGTACAAGAGAGAACAGACATGAAGCAGGAAGATCTTTACCCAGATACTCTGTAATACATCTATGTGCCTGCTCCCATTGCTTGTTTTAATATTTCTGGGGTTTTTGGTCAGTATCTACAAGACTCCAATGCTCCAAGAGACCTTGTTTTTCTCAGGATGGAACACAAGTACACAGACTTCATGTAAAATGAGTGATAACTATCTGGCTGCATGATGAAAGAGGCTGCAGGGACATGAGAAGGCTGCTGCCATCATCATAATTAATATAACTTCCTTCTGGCACCTTCATTCCTCATGTGAGCCACCTGGAACAGGCTGTGGCCTAGAGAAAATGCTTTGGCAGGAGCAAACTGCTCCAACTTGCTCTTCTTGTGATGCAGAACAATCATACAGAATCATAGAAAGGTTTGGGTTGGAAGGGACCTTAAAGCTCCTCCAGCTCCAACCCCTGCCATGGGCAGGGACACCTTCCACTGGAGCAGCTCGCTCCAAGCCCCTGTGTCCAACCTGCCCTTGAACACTGCCAGGGATGGGGCAGCCACAGCTTCTCTGGGCACCCTGTGCCAGCGCCTCAGCACCCTCACAGGGAAGAGCTTCTGCCTAAGAGCTCATCTCAGCCTCCCCTCTGGCAAAACTATCTATGCTAGGGAACATGGAATGCACCTAGAAAAGGTATCTGGTCCAAAGTCTAAGTCCAAAGCCATATAAAGAATGGGTGCCTTCATATAAATAAGTTTTCTCCAACCAGATGTGATGAGATGGTACTTTAAAGAAAAAAGCATCAAAAAACCACAATCAACCAAAAGTAAGTCTTTTCAAAGAGGCAGTGAGGAGTCCACAGTGCTAGTGTGGATGAGTATTTGTACATTGCCAATATTTACACAGCACCAAAAAAATCTTCACATGAGTAATGCCAGTCTTGCCACAAAAGAAACCTCATTTGTAATGATCCAGCTTTCAAACACAACTGACAAGTCAAAATACTGCAGGATATGCTTGGGAGGAGTCTCTGCCAGATCTCAGAGGAAAGATGTTTCTCCAAAGGAAAAAATCATGTCAGGTAGTTTCTTTGGAGGAGTCTGGGGCTGCTTCCCTGGATTTCAGGTCCCTAAACCAGATGTCAGAAGACTCCAGCATCCCACAGCAGAGAGCTTCTGTTACAGGAAAAAAACATTTTGGGTACCTTCCTTGGAGGAGTCTGGGTCTGCTCTTTGGGATCTGGGTTCCCTACAGTAATTTCATGCTGTGTTTTCAACCAACAAATGTTAGTGTTTTCCTTTTGAATTTTCCATCTTCTGGAAATGCAGCTCCTTGTAACTTGGCTGCACATCTGCACTGAGCATGCAAAGAAAATACTTACATATCAGCTACTAAGGCTGTTGGAAAAAAGTGTGTTCTTGGTACCTTTCTCCCCTGTAGAAATATAGGGAAACATACAGATATAAAACAGAACCTGGGGTACCAGTTTCTTCCAATTCTTTGGGTTTGGTATTCCTTCTCCCCTTTCCCCCTTCACGCTTCACTCCATTCTCCAGGATCAGACTGTTGACAACAGCATGAGGAGGGGATGGGAGACTTGCAGGCACCTGGGATTTCCTAAAGGGAATCTTTGGCAACTGTGTCTTTTTATTATTTATTTCCTTATTTTTAATTCCACCCCCCTCAAGCTGTCATTCCTTAGCAGTGCAAATGAAAAACTGCTGTTTATGTGTGTACAACAATGGAGGCCTCTGCAGGCCACATGGCTCCTGCAGTTTAATTTACTTTAATTCATTTTCTATTGAACCAAATGATCTTATTTGCCTTTCTTAATGGAGAGCCTTCAGCATGCAGGGTGGGAGCCAAACCCCCCTTCCAAAGTAATGATGAGCCCAGCTGCTATTAAAACTTGTTCTCAGCTGGATGGGCCCCTCAGCTCATGGGGATGAAGGAACAGCTTTAGGCACAGGTATGCTCCTTCTCCCACAACTTCTGATTGCAGAGGTGGAAGGCTGGAATCTGATGTTGGGATTCCCTTCCTTTTTCTACTTTTGTCTCCTTTCCCTGCCTTCCAGCCTGATTGTAGTCTCACAGCCTCTCTTGGCACCTCTTTTTTCTGAGCTGGTTTGGAACCTGGGAAAGTCTGGGATTAAATAGTCAGATTTCCAATCTTCACTCTTTGGAGGGTTGTTTGCAATGATATTCTATTTCTGAGTAATTTGATCTTGGAGAACTCTGCCTAGTTGTATCCTGATAACATAGCAGTCCTCATGCTTCACATTTCAAACACTCATGATCACATCTACTGTTCTCTGTATTCTGATTGCAAAGACAGACTTTTTCTGCCTCTCAGATCATAAATCCTATGCTATAAATCCAAGATGGTCCTCGATGCCACGTGAAATCAAAAGTTGCCCTTCCTGTGATGGTGTCATACTAGGAATACACGACCCAGTACTTTAGATTGGGAGAACTGAGTGCTTTAGCCCAAATTCCTAGTGTTTACTATCAAAATGAAAAGATGCATCTAACTGAGGTAAGAGTGGAGTACTACTCACTGTTTTCATTAGTGTCTTCATGTAACAAAGTAGGCTTATCAAATGTACAGCTGACACTGAAGTGGGAAAGGCTGTAAACACTGGGAAGAAGGATTATAATCCAAACTCTTCTTTATAGGCTGAAGAAATGGTCTGGAAAATGGGGGGGACTGAAGAAAGTCCAGAAGAGAATAAGATCTAGAACGAATGATCTCCGAGAAAAGACTCAAAACTAGTGGTGTCCAGTCTACAGAGAAGCTGAGGGGAGATGTGAACACTTCAAAAGAAGGACATTCAGAGGGCATGCCTTGTACTAGAAAGGCTATGAAAGCATCGGTGAAAACCACATGCTATTCAGAGCAGACGAGAATCTCAATGAGCAGCGAAAAGCCAGACTGGCTTTGGAATGCCTTTGAACTTCCAAAATGAGGAGCATGCCCAGAGGTTGAGTGCTGAATGATCAAAGTACTGCAAGGAAGCTCAAGATAAAATACCTCTATCCCATTCTAAGCTGTGCTGAACTCTATCCCTGACAGTGCAGCAACCTCCACTTTAGGCTCTGTGTTATGGGCAGCTAGAAACTGCAGTTCTGGCTGGTTACGTCAGCAAAATTCTCTATGTCTACCATGGAAAAATCTTCTAGCTCTATTCCCAGTGTAATTTATTTCTCCAGCAGCTTGCTATCTGCTATGATTATGTGTCAGACATCCAGAAGTTCAGAAACTACAAGCTAGGCTTCAAGCAGGAACATTACTACAAGCATATGGGGAGGAAAAGAAAAACTTTGTATCTGGCAAGTATTAAGATAGCAGATAGTAAATAAGTTGATAAGAACTTGGTCAAAGATAATGTGCTTAAAGTGCAATAGAACTGTTCTGAGAAAAAGCTTAAAACTCATCTGAAACTAAGATGTATAGCACTGTGCTGGCTTTAAGAGGTAAGCTGGGTCACCCAGCTCAGGGGAAAGAGCTCAGCTATGTGGTTACCAATTACAATTTCTATGGCATCCTGTGGTTTTCTTGGAGCATTCCCATCCCAGTTTGATCTTGCTTAATTTGTAACACCAGATCTCATCCCTGGTTGGCTTAATGGATGCCTTGGAGAGAGAGGGATAAAAATAAATCCAGATCCATAGTGGTAGGTAACAGCAGTCTCAGATATCAAGGGACAAGAAGACCATCAACAACATCCTAAGACAAAAAGAGACTCAAAAAAAGTGAGAAATATTGCTATCCAGAAAAAGGTATTAAAAATGAAGCATCTGTGCTCTGAGTCATTATAGGCCCATGACAGATGTGATCTTACCAGCCTCCCACTGTAGCTGCAAATAAAGCCCCCTTCTCTTTCTTCTCTCCCGACAAGGATTAATGAGTACTTGGGATAGCTCTCAGACAAGCAAGCAAAGGCTGTGAACCTTTTCCAACACTGCAATTTATCTTGGGAAGACTATTCACATTGCTTTTCCCTCCCTCCCCAGGCTGGATTATGCTCTGACCTAGCACATTAATCTCCCAAAATATAATAATAATAATAGAAGAAGGAAAAAGAGCTGGACAATTGCCAGAAATAAATTAATAAGCATCTCATAGCCCTGCTGTGCAGGAACAAACTGCTCAACTCCCTTGCCACCCATGTCATTTCTAAGCAAAACTATTCCCAGTTTAGACATCCCCTTAAGTGCCCTGCCTGAGACTTTCAGCAATGAATGATGGTATCTGGCATCTCCATCCTGCCTTTCATCCCAACAGCTGCCAGGAAGTTTCTTTACCAAATGCAAACACTACACATTGCTACATTTGCCACTGAAATGTAGTTACCACCAAGTGGAGGAAGAGGCACTTCATGTGCATGTCAAAAAACAGTATGAAAAGGGTTTTCAAGAGAGAATGTGGTGAGAAAGTTTCAAAAGTTAGGCCTAATCTGTATATGCTATCATCAACATTTGTTAGCTATTTAGTTAAAATATTTCTCTGGCCATGGTTACAACTGGTGCTGTCTTCTGTGGCATCAGAAGCTTACATTTAATGCTGTTACTTCTTTGACCAAAGCAGAAAGCCAGAGAGATAAGTACTTGCAATTTCCTTCCATTAAATGAAGAGATTGGTGCTTTAGAAATACTTCTTTGCAGATCTAGAACAACATCAACCAGAAAAGCCTTTATCTCATCGCTAGTAACTATTCCTTCTCAAGCAATGATTACCTGTGTGGAGTTGAATTACTTGCTGGGATTACCAAACCCTTGCTCAGGTCTGTGATGGCTCAAAAGCCAAAAAGCTGACTCTCGAGGTGACTTTCCACCCAAGTTTTATCAGAGGTTTTATTATTTTTATTCTTCCACCCATATTTCATGCTGCAGGCATGTTGCAAAGGTATCACATTATCAAAGACAAACATCTGTATAGCAAGAAGAGAAGAGACTCCTACCTTTGACTTGACAGCAAGGATGATCTTTGGCAGGGCAACAATTAGGCATTTCAGTGCAATGGTGAGGTACTTGAGTACAAAGTCTGCGATGCCCACAATCCACATCAGGTCGAAGAAGTCCAGCCTCTCCAGGTTGGGTTTCAGAAATATAAGGCTGAAAGGCATGACACCAAGGCTCAGATACCAGCAAGGAGAACCTCGCTTAAGCTTCTTGATGAGCAGCTCTATCCACTGCAGGCTAGAGAAAGCCTAGGAACTCCACTGAACTTCAGTTCCCAAGGGCAATAGGAATAAGACATGCAGATTAGTCCCATGGTTCTTCTGGGCCTCCTGACTTTGGTCTTGCCCATTCCTACTTAGGTCAGCAGGTTTGCCCACTATCACAAAGCAGGACCCAAACATGTATGAAGCCTATTTTGGAAGACTGCAATCCACACTGTAAGTGAGCTCTGGTCTAATGGCAATGCCTTTAGTCCACAGGCTTGCTCTATTGGATCTGACTGTAAAAGCTTATCCTTTGGAGGCAGCAGTAGTTATGATTCCTTGGGGAAGTCAAGACCCCTATGTCCTCTGAGACTGGCTTGCCACAGGTAGAACTACTGCAGGAGCAGCAGTCTCTAAAGCTGCTTGTACATGTGAAACGTGCTGGTGACAAAGGAAGCACTGTTAGTGTGGCAAAGAGATCAGGAATTGAGGTGTGTCATGTTCTGATGGTGGCTTGCCACTGTCTGAAGCAGAAGAAAAGCTGGACTGTGTTAAGCAGCAACTCTTACCAGAAACAAAGATCCAGAAAGGTAGTTCCCTTGACATAATGTTATTGACTGGGCTGAACATCTGCCCTTTAAAGAGGGGATTCCAGGACAGCAGAACTTCAGATAGCAATGGGCAGGAGCTACTGACCCGAGCAGCAATGAGACTGAAACACCAGGATTCCTCTTCAGGAATTTACCTACTAAAGCCTCATTGTAGAAAGCAAAAACTTAAAATAAAACAAACCAAAAAGTAAAAGGAAAATAACCAACCCAGAACAAAACACCTGAACGTGAATTTAAAATACTCACAACACTGGCACAGCACAACAGGTAAAATTACACCCTAAAAACAGAAACAGAATCAGAGACTTTACTACTATTCATGCACTAGGAAAAAAAAAGCAAAAAGTAAATAAATCAGAAAAATTAAAAATAAGCCAGAAAGAAACAAAACCAAAGCAGCTATTTCTGATTTCCCAAGCCTGCCTTGTGAATAGTCACAGGTCCCCACACGGCAAGCAATAGATACACCAGCCCAAGTATGACCCAGCAGGCACCACCACAACACTGGGAGGAACAGGGCTTGCCACTGAAGCTGTTGCCCAGTCTGTCCCCTGTTAATAACCCTTGGCCTAACCAGTGTGTAGGATGGCCCCAATTTGCTGAAACCCTTTTATTTTAGATGATCTAGCCTTCATTTCTAACTAGTCCCATTCATGCTTTTAACCTTAACCCCCCCTCTTCCCTCCTACAAGCCCTATGCAGAGTATCCCATGGTTTACCATCTCACATTTGGACCCACACATACACCTCATCTCTCCTGCTTACTAGAAGCACTTACATACAGAACTTCCCAATGATCAAACCCAAATACACTAGGGGCAATTCCAAAGGATACCAGGGCTGTGGGCAGACCTTGACTCTTCCACTTACTAGACGGTATCAGTGGGAAGAAGCAGGGAAGCAATGAAATAAATAACAGAAAAAACATAGCCAAGAGCCATGTAGCCACAATCCCACTGATGCATGTGACACACATTGTATTTTCAGTCTGAAGTTCTAAGTGGTCTTCAATGGGACAAATAAATTTTTCATTGGGAAGATAATTCCTATCTTTTTAGCTACAAATATAAAAACCTTTTTCTCACATAACTAGGTTTGATATTGCTCCATTGCTTCCTATTTATTCTACTAGCACTCCCTTGCTTAAGTTCTGTATCTTTGCTTCCTATATGTCATTTAATCCCTGCTTTATAACAGGCAGGGATAGTGCTGAACCGAATCCCTGGGTACTAACTTGCTTGTACATGAGAACTGCTCCAGTCACAATCTGAAAGCGGAGGCTATCTTAGTTACCTCAGATCCAAATGCCTCCAGGCCCAGAGGACACAGGAGTAAAACACTATTATTTCGTCTCCAGTTTATCTCCTGTAATAGACTCAAAGCTTGATGGACTGAAAAGAAAACATCAGAGGAAGTGGAAAATCAGTGGGACAATCTCTTACCTGCTTCCAACACCTTCTCTTTATGTTCAGTCGCAGTGGTCAAAATTCAGAAGCCCCACTATAAAAAAGTATCCACCCTGCTTTGATATGTAAGACAACTGCAAGTGTACATGTTTCAAGCAGCAACACGGCAGTGCATCATCGCACCCTGACCCATTCAGACCCTGGTTATGTCATTCATTGGTAGGAGCATAGTCCACTGGTGGGAGTAACACACACTCTTTTCCTCCATCAAATGGTATTACAGTGATATTAACAAAGACAGCAGATACCATCAGTATGCACATTTCCTCTCAAAGTGTGGAGGAAAGTGGGTTTCCCTCTTTTCCTCCCTGGAAATTATCACTTCCTTCTATCATTAACAATGGAAATGTTGCCCACCTGTTGTAGAGCTGCTGAGAGCTGAATGTGTAGAGCAAGTACAAGGTGTTTCCAGTGAGAAAGGCCAGGATCCACAAGACAACCAACACTGATCTCTTCTCCTGAGCAAGAAGAAAGAAGCAGAGAGGATAAATTCAAAGTCTCAATGACTGTGCTGAGTCTTTGACTGCTGAAAAATGCAAGACCAACCCAGGGGATACAAATATGCCACTAAGTGTTCAGTAGTTAGTTTATTTACATAGGACTACAACTCAGAAACAGGCTGTAGGTAAAGATATACAGAAACACAAGCAGAAATGGCTCTCACTCAGCTAACTCGTTAACATAAAGTAACTTCAGAGAAATCAAGCAAATACGCCAGTGACAACGACAGCCTTACTTGCAGAATTCAGTTTTCAAAGTTGGGATCGTTCTTGGGACATCTAAATTCTCCTGATATTCAAAATGCAGTTTGACAAGAGGTTAAAACAAAAGGAAAGAAAAAAAGTCCATATGTTGTCCTGTAATTCTGAGTTGTCACCTGTTTGAAAGGACACTTTGTCAAAGGGGTGTTTTACAAATAGACCCGAAGTCACACAGAAGGCTTAGCTAAATCAAATATAACATAACCCATCACTGCACGCAGCACCTGTGAATGTGATCTGGACACATGCTGGTTCTAGCATATGCATTTTTGATTGAGGAAATAAAGGTCAAAAGAAGTGTAAATTTTCATTTTCAAAAGACATGGAATGTTACAGACGGAAGTGGGTGGCAGAAGATCTTGTCCTGGGTCTTGGCCTGGTGTAATACCAGAGTAAATTTTACTCCTGGGAGGAAAAATCCCAGCATTTTTCTTGGGAGCTGATTTATTAAGAAAACAGCTCTTTGTAGCTACTCAACAGCCAGGGATGTTAGGGTGAGATTTAAAGCAGGTGGATTAAGGGGCACACTGCCTGAAAGACAAAGGTGCAAAGGGCAAGGCCACAGCAATCTGTTACATGATTGTGCAATTTATCTGTTCATTCAGCACTGTATCACATTTATTCCACTCCTGCTGGGAGACAGAAATATACACTTGTGCCACCCATGTAATTTTTATCAAAAGAAGCAATTCTAGTGTTGTGCTTTCAGTGCTGTTGAAGTATTCTGCTGACACTGATTATAAGGCCTGAAAAGATCTCCTGGTTTCTTTATATTCTAAGCATATTATCACCAGAGCATTATCAAGACACTAACAAGCAATACAGCTACAAAATCCTTCAGCTGAATGTCTCAAAACAGTCTCTAAATGATAATAAATTAAATCTCCTCATTAACTAGTGAATAGGTTTCAGCACCTCTGTGGTATACAATGGGAAACTGAGGTGCAGAGGAGTGCTTGAAGATGCACTGACAGCAGTGGCAGAGCCAAGAGCACATTAAGATATCCCTGACCTTTCCTCTCTTGTAAAAGTGTAGCATAATTAAACAAAAAGAGCAGGATATAAACTGTGGGAAAGTTATCAATGGGGAGAAGTAGGAAGTGAGGATTACAGCACAGTACTCTTAATCTGACAGATATGTATTTATATAACAGCTTTCAGCCCTACATTGCAAAAGAAGGTTCAACAGAGACATTGTTTTGTGTGCAGAGTGATGTTGCCTGGGACCACAGGAGAGTAAGAGGCCGTACTGACCTTCAGAGCGACCTGCTCCCGGAGTGTTGAGTTGGCATATGCGAATGTGCTGGCCATACCAATGCACACAGCAATCCCTGCAGGGAAAGACACTGTCAGTGTACACAGGGCTGAGCAGGAGGATCTTCAGCCTTAAGCCATTTGATGTCAGCATCTTAAACTTAGGAAAAAAATACTGGGTGATATTCTGGTTGAACTGAGTATAACAGTGATTGAACCAGGGCAGTGTGGACTCCATAAAGTTAAAATTCAGTCCAAATGAAAATGAAGCTACTGCAGTGAGCATCTGACACCTGGTCCAATACAGACGCTCCATCCTAATGTCAGGCTCTGTGCTGAAGGAGAAGTGCTGCAAGTTGCGGCTGTGTTGTGCAAACAGAACTCGGCTAGATGACAGTGTTACAGTATCAGTTCAGCAGCTTGCAGAAGACAAGGCACGCTATCCACATAGGAGATCAAATTCAAGGAGCAAGATGTTTCAGACATGAATCAATACCTGGTTTGGGGAATACTGGCAGAACTGTAAGGTGGACTAAAGCATTATTGGCTTCCCTGTGATGATAATCTAGCATATTACTCCCAGAGTGAGTAAGGATCCTCAGACAGGCCACACATATAATTTCATGTAAGAGGAGGATTAGAAGAATGGATTTGACATGAGCACTGAGGGGTTGAAACACTAACCTCCTATTAAAGAAACCTACATAGACACATTGTTTAGGTAACTCTGAAGATCTCAACTGTAAGACATAAACGCTGATGCTGTTTGGCTTGATTTCACATCTTCCATCTTTCCAGCTGGAAAAGTGTCTCGTCCCTCTGAACCCTTCTGTGTTACACAGCAGCCTTTGCTAGTCACTAATGTAAGCTTTCCCCACCTCTCCTGGAGAGAGGTCTGAGGGAGAAGCCTTGGTAACATCCTCAGCCCCTACAGGAATTTCAAGGAGAGATTAGGAAAAGGAACAGAACTGGTCTCCCACAGGCCAGGACAGGAAACAGATGGGACTGACACAGGTGAAAACAGCTTGGACTGAAAGTAGGGTGAATTTATCAGCTGCATTAATGCATGCATTAAATATGTCCCCTTCATGCTAGACTACCTTTAGACACTGTTATGCAGATAAATATCTCAGACACCACAGCATGCTAAAGCTCCCTAACCACTCTCTAATACACTTACAATCCAGAAAGGATAGATGCTTACCAAGCTTGTGCTGGAAACAAACTTTAGCCAGGAGGATCAAGATGAAGGGAAGTCCCTTCTGCAGCCATCCAATCACAGCTTTTAACTCTGAAAGAGCTGGGGCTGGAGTTCCAGCTTGTTCATCACTGCCTTCCTCAGTGTGCCCGTGGCGATCCCCTCCTGCCATGTGCAGCAGAGATGAACCCCGGTGATGGCCATGGTGGAAATGATGGGATGATTGCCGGTGGTGGAACGGGGCTCCCTCTGTACGACTGCTCCCTTCCTCCCTTGGGGCTGGCATCTGAATGAATACTTCCCCACCTCCTGCTGAAGAGCCCAGGACCAAACCTGACTGGAATGGGGTGGCTGTGATGGTGCCTGAGGGGATGCCTGCCAGGCCTGAGAACAACTGTTGTGGTGAGGAAGCTTCAGCCTTCAGACTTTCAAAGACTCCACTTTCATCCACGCTGGTCTCGGAACTCACTGTCTGGCTCCGGTTTCTGTAGTGGATGGACATGAAAGTGATTAAACCAACATGAGTGCCACAGAACTTCTCAGTCTTATAGCCCAGTCCTAACTGTAGTCTATTAAGAGTTCCTCACACACTATCAGAACATGAAGGTCCCAGATGACAGATGCTTTTCCCTCTATTTGCTGTTGGAAAGTCAGAGTTGCAGAATTAGAGGCCAGTAAGCAGACTGTAAGATCAGGGTACTTTGAAGGAACTGATCACAATGCCAAGTTCCTTCACAGAATCATGGAATGGTTTGGGTTGGAAAGGACCTTAAGATCATCCAGTTCCAACTCTGTGCCAAAGACAGAGACACCTCACTCTAGACCATGTCACTCAAGGCTCTGTCCAACCTGTCTGTGAACACTGCCAGGGATGGAGCATTTACCACTTCTTTGAGCAACCTGTGCCAGGGCCTCACCACCCTCACAGTAAAGAACTTCTTCCTTATATCTAACCTGAACTTCCCCTAAGTTCCCCTAAGAAACAGAGTTCCCAGACACCCCATTTACTTTTGGAGGAACCAAAGAAATAACACATCTGATACCAAAATCAACATCGTCTATAATGATCTTAATATTTCAAGCAAAACATACAAAGCCCCATGTAAACTGACACAGCACAACCAAGACAGGTCACATTAACCAAGCTAACTCAAACAAATGGCCTACCCCCTAAATTTTCTGATTTTATTGAGGGATGATCACTACTTGCCCACTGATGAGTAACACCAAGAAGACACAGAGTCAGTTGGGGAAGAGAAACGTTGAGACCTGCTTGTGTGTCCCTGACCCAAGAAGTATTTTAAGTGAAGGATGTGCTCCTGGGTCAAGAGAACTTGTTTTATTTTGATATTCTTGGCAAACTGGACATGGGTGTACCCAAATTACTGGGCACTGGACAGAATTAGATCTGGCACTGATTCTTTCCTGAGGTTGTTGGATTATAGCCAGATTTCTAAAAGAAAGGCTTAAATACCCTCATCCTAACACCAGAAGAAAACAGGCTTTCTTCACCTGAACTCAGTGGTACTGAAATTAATACACATGAAGTTTAGATCACAGGGAGCAATACAGGTAACCATAGAACAATCATTAGGCAGACAGCAAACACCTCTCTAACTTGCAAAAGGAGAGTAAAGGATAAATAAAGCTCAGCAAGAGGCAAAGCCTACAAATAAGGCATGTTGCAGAGCTTGGGTCTCTCTTGATTTTAGTCCTGGGAGATCTCTAAGTTTAGAAATAGTGGTCCCAAGCTGAGATAGCACATGCAAGGCCCTTAACCCTCTCTCCCCCATGGGTTCCAAAGCCTCCCCAGGCATCTTACAGGGCACAGAGCACTGCCTTTCACCTCACTCTGGAGATTGCTTCAAATTTCTCTGGGAATACCTCCCACTAAGTAAACTCCTAATAAGGCTTTTTATAGTGACACCCCATTCCCAGTGTCTCTCCACAGGCTCCAGCAAGGAATCAAGTCAAAGACATCACACACCTCTTTTTGGTTTAAAATATTCGTCAACCAGATCTTGGACTTTACACCTAACATTACAATTGAGGGATGTATACACAAGAGAGGGACACAATGTGACAGGACTTATGTCTGGGAACATAACAAGTCGGGTGGGACCCCGTGTCAGAGATAAAGACACAATTGTTGTTTGGAAAAATACTTCCAGGATACATGACTCCACTTTCAACAGGAAAGAATTCATCAGGGGCGTATTTAAAAACAAATAAACAAGGATGAAATAGTGAATTTGTTGAAGTTAACAGGAAGTGAAGACCAGTGGCAACAACTTTTCATTTGACAGTTAGGAAACCTCCAGCCTATGGTACTGACAAGATGCATTTACGCTGTTAAGAAACAGAAGCATTTACAAAAACCAACTGAGATTACTCTGCTTATCCTTTGCACTCAGCAATAGGCACCTACCCTGAATATATCTGAACCATTCAAACAATCCTGAAGTGCCTTACAAGTTTGCACAGACTCAGAAAGCTCTATGTTACAGACAAGAGGGCCCATACAACCTTAACGCGCCTCTCAAGTCCCAGCCTTGCCTGCTGACATAAAACCCACAGCCTGCAGTGAGGCTTGGGCAGCATCATGCTGAAAAAGCTGAAGATGGCTTTCTTTTCCCCTGAAATTCAGAATGGGGACTAGAAGTGGTCCATGATTGATTAGTTCCATCTTTGCCTTAGAGCAATTAGACTAGTTTCTTCTTAGGGAAAAAAACCAAAACCAAGCTAGAAGTCAAGCTCTAACCCTGGGAAAGCACAAGGGAATATTTAGCACCAGAACAATAACAGTGGCAAGCCTCCCTTGCTGATATTATAATTACAGAAGTGAATTAGAGGTTATTTGTATTCTACTTCTAAATATTCATATACATAAAGCTAGATACAGATTCTGGGATGATGTAAAGGATCACCCAAGTTCGCTATAAAATACTAAGTCATAGTAGTTGGGAGTTTCAGAAGAGCAGACTTTTAAAATACCTTAATAACAGTATAAATAGCCTGTGTTTACACAGATGGATCTTTTTGGATTGACAGCACTCAGGATCCCCACAGGACCGTGCCATGAATCACTGTTCTAGAGCCCCCAAATATCCTGCCTATGCTAAGCCAACTGTCTCCATATGTGCCACACCAGACCATGAAATCTGAAACACTGCAGGTGGTAGCAGCCATTAAGTGAAATGTTGGAGAAAAGTAATCCTGTCTCTAAACTCAAGCAGAAAGCCTGGCCACACTCCATGCACAGGACATATATGCTTTCCTTAATTTTGAACTTTCATTTTCTAAACCACAGCATACATTTAAATCAGAACATTCCCCTCTGGAGAGGAAAATGAAGGGAAAAAAGGAGGAAAAAGATGTACCTTTCAGGAGGAACGTTGTCAGTGTTGCTGCTATGCCGTCTCTGCATTTTCCTCAAAACCTTAAAGCACAGCACACTCAACATTAATGTTGGAGGTCAACAAATCCCAGTGTGACTCCTAACAAAGACCCACAGAGTCAAAGGGTTGTGAGACCCATTCAGCTAGTGACATGGCTGGCATAAATCTTTGGCTTCTCTGAAAGGCCACCTCGAGCTTGCATTTGTTTCTCAGCACACTTGCAGGGGAACAGCGTTCAACTGGCAAACGGAAACACACACAGAGGTCTCTAAGCAGGGCAGGAACTAGTCACATCCCCTTCTGCAGCCCATGGCAGTCGTCACAAGGAGTGTGCAGGTTTGTGATGAGATGTTCTGACAGCGAACTTGAGGACAACAGAGAAGCTCTTGATGTGACATGGAATCAGTTTCACTCTGGAAGTGAAATCTCTTCTTCCTCTTCTGAAGAAACTTGCTTTGTAAGGCAAAACTGAGAGGGAGGGAAAAAAGAAAACATATAAACATTTTAAAGGAAAAAATACAGTCAGGTCAGGACAATATTGTTTCAAATAAGCAACCCACTCCTTTTAAACCACAGAAATGCCATTGGCAAACTCTGCACAATGGTCATAAGTAATATGCACATACACAAAAGATCACATGCTCCTGCTCCATTCATTCTGGAATTGTCAGCATAAAGTAAGGTCTGGAGTGGGAAATTAAAAGGCACTAGAATTGTATTAACTTCAGGAACTTTTTCTAGAACAAGGAGAGAAGTTCTTCATTTAGTTACCTCAATCTCTGCTTTCAAGTGTCTAATTTTAAGGGAACAACCTCAAACACATTCCACCTTTTAAAACTAAAGTTAATTCAAAAGCAAAGAACACAGTATCATCATCAAGGCACAGCACAGAGTAACTGGCAAATACTTAGACTGCTTAATGTTATATTAGTTACATAAAACCTAAGGAATAGGCTGGTTTTGCAAGTGATTTGTCCAGATTCACACAGGCATTTCATTGAAGCTTGAGAGAGACATCCTTTAAATCCTTGAAGTTTGATCCTACACAGCCCTAAACTACAACAGCTACTGAATAAAATGTAAAAGGCTCTAAATACTTCTGAATACCAAAAGTTGCAACATTACTTATTTCATACTCCATGAATATATGTAAATAAATGTGTAGCCATATATCTCTATTCTGAAAAGGCACAATGGCTCTGAGAACATTTCCTACCTGTCTGTAAGCAGAGCTGAGACATAGAAAACACAGAATATTTATTTCAGCCCCACCCCCCCCCCTTTCAGTGACCCACTAGCCCATGGAAAACTGCATTAAATTCCATTTTTATGCTTTGATAAAGCCCAAAACATGCAGTTCAGAGCTCATAAAGAGACAATTGTGCTCACCATGTACACCTGCAATAAAAGCATATGGAGTTTGTCCAGCCCTGAAGATAAGTTACGAATCAGTGACAGAAGAAAGTGTATTTCAGTTAAATCTGAACTGTATCAAAGTTGTAAAAAGATGAAGATAAAAATGTTCACATTTACAAAACAAAGAGAAAGACTTTTGGTTTGTAACATCCAGTCTTGCAGAACCCCATGAATGAAGTGGGTGGAACTGAGACAACACTGGATTTGAGTCATCACTGACAGAGAACACAGAGGTTTTAATATGAGCTGCCAACTTTGCACATCCCCTTGACAGTTAATGTAAATACACAGCCCTATATAAATAACATTTTGCATCATCATATATGACAGGAAAAAGACAGCTTTCAACACATTTTAGGGAGAGGACACCCTAAGTCACCAACACTCTCTTTACTACGGATTTTGATCTTTAACTCCCAGCAGTTTTTTAATCTCTAGCTGTACGCTTCGTGTTGTGTTTTCAGGACCAAAATTCATTTTTAAGGATGTTTTATACAGTAAAAACATAAATATTTTCTTTTTTCCAGATTTTTTAAAGCTGCATTTATAGTAACAAGACTTACTACTGCCTTCCCTGCAGCAATTGTTATTTACTCCTTGCCTGACAGTATCTCTGTCAACTTAATATATATTATCCCTTTTTAACCAAAATGGTAATTAAGACATGATGAAAAGGCCAAGCCAGGCTGACCCACGCAGGCAGAGCTGTCCTACCTGTGAACAACTCTGGGGTCACTGCTTATAAAGAAATCTGTCCATCTTCTTGTGCTACATAAAGAGAGTTAGAGTCAGTGTGGAGATAACTCTGCAACTTAGAAAACCCTCCACTCTCTTCTAGGCCATTAGAAGTCTACCAGACTGTAATGTGAGGTGAAATCATGTTCCCAAATGATGTCTCTCTCTCTCTATGGGGAGAAAAATCTTTTGGCATCAACCATTAAGGGGACAGTGACAGAAATGCCAAGTACTGAAGAGTCAGGACTTCACGAGATGTATTTGTTCTGCTCAGAGACTCACAGATTTAAGAGCATTTAAACAGACCTTGTTCCAAAAGGCACTCAGCTTCTATACCCACTGCTCCTGCCTTTCCTAGATTAGGGGTTTTCATCTTGCTACACTTGAACATCTTTTAACAGTACCTGAAGAACAGGTTTAACGAGAGGTGCAAGGATGGAAGAGAGGGAAGCTCAAGAGGATGCAGACATCTCACACATGGAGTGCTTCAGATAATCCAAGATGGTCCAAATTTCAAAGTCATCACAGGTCCTTCAAGCTGGGTGATTGTAAGGCACCTGACCACAGTGCTCAAACAGGCGCACCTGTAAGAAGCACATACATAGAGTCATTTTCACCATAGCAGAGTGAGTTTCACCTTTCCATCTCTTTGGGAAAGATGGAGAGAAGCAGGAACCCCTAGTGCTTCAACTCCAGCACGTGTGCATGATACAAGGCCATTTCCCTCTGAGAGTGGGACTTGCAGCCCTGCTCACTGCACAGACAGTCCCTGGGTGCCTGCTGGGCTTTGCTCTGCTTTCATTGTGTATAACACACACACACACACACTCATGTCCATGTGTGTAATCACAGAATGGTTTGGGTTGGAAAGGACCTTAAGATCATTCAGTTCCAACCCCTGCCACAGGCAGGGACTCCTTCCCCTAGAGCAGCTTGCTCCAAGCCCCTGAGTCCAACCTGGCCTTGAACACTGCCAGGGATGGGTTCTCTGGGCACCCTGTACCTTGCCACCCTCACTGTAAAGAACTTCTTCCTTATATCTAACCTGATTCTCCCGTTTAAGGTTAAACCTATTACTCCTTGTCACTGCAATCCCTGACGGAGAACACTGCATATATACGCAGACACACAATATAGATTTACAAATGCAGTAACATACACACATATATATGTATGTACACACACACATATATGTACACACACACTATATATGTACACACACACATATATATGTACACACACACATATATGTACACACACACTATATATGTACACACACACTATATATGTACACACACACACATATATGTACACACACACATATATGTACACACACACATATATATGTACACACACAGAGGCACAGGCAAGGCCTTTTTTTTTTCCAGTTCGGCGCGGTAAGGAGATTCCCGCTGCAGTTCGTAGCTGAACGTCCACGGGGGCCGGGCAGAGCCGAGCCTCCACACCAGCACACCCGTCCCCGGAGGCCGCAGCCCGGTACCTACCCGTGCGGGCCGCGGCGCCAGCACCGCCCTCACCCGGCGCGGCCGCACCCCCTCAGCGCACGCACATCCGCGGCTTCCGCCTACCCCGCCCCGCGGCTGGCGGAAGCGGCTGGGCCTCGCTTCCCGGGAGGGAGGGAGGCCGGGCAGTGGCTCGGCTCGGCTCGGCTCGGCTCGGCTCTCTGCCGGAGCCGGTGATGCCGGTCCTGGATCAGCGCTGCCCCCGCCGTTCCTCTCCGTCCCTGCGGCGGGCGAGCGCGGCGGCGGGGGGCTGAGGGCCCAGCCCGCGGCCTGCCCGCCGCTATGGTGCCCTGGGGAGCGGTGCTGTGGCGGCGGCTGCTGAGGAAGCGCTGGGTGCTTGGCGTCGTCTTCGGGCTATCCCTCGTCTACTTCCTCACGAGCACGTTCAAGCAGGTCAGTGCCCTCCCGGCGGCGGCGTTCGGCACCGGGCCTCTGCGGGCGGGTAAAACATCCCTATCCCAGAGTAACTCTTGTTCCTCAGGTGCGGAACTTGCGAAAGAGGGGTATGTGTACCTAGGGTTATTTAATGGAACGCGTGCTGCTTCTGTAGTGGCAGTGACTGAATCCAGCTGGGTTAGGTGAGCCTTTGGGGAACTTGTATCCCCCGTTTTACTGGATTGTGCTGCTTTCTGTCATGAGAAAAGTAACCTACTGCAAGTAGTGTGTTGCTTATGCACTGACACTGTAGTTTCCTATTCTGCAGAGTTTAATGCCACTAGACATTTCTAACTGGGGGAAAAGCACATTGACTGGAATGGCAGAAGGAATTGCATGTTTGGATGTCTGTCTGCATTACTGTCTTTCCTTGCAGGAAGAGAGGATGGTGAGAGATCGGAATCTCCTCCAAGTGCAGGAGCACGAGCAGCCGATCATGTGGAAGGTGAAGTTCAGTTCGGGAAACAGCAGTCAGCTGAGTAACCAGTGCAGGAATTCTGTGCAGGGGAAGCTCCTCATTACAGATGAACTGGGTATACTTGATACTAAGAATTTATTCTGCCTGTTGCAGTGTTTAGTGCTGCTTTGCCTGTCCAATTGTTGATGGCCCTTTCAAGTAGCAATTGCTCCTTCTTGAGACATTCTTACTGCATCATCTCAGCTGCTGGTGTTCCATCCACAGACTGGATTCATGTTGCTGTTTGACTGCACAGCAGGCGTGGGTCCAAGGGGCTCAGCATGCCATGGGTGTGGCTCTGCTGGTCCCAGACCCACCTCAGTTTCAAAGCACTCCAGTTACCTCTGCACAGAACTTACATTGTGACCTGCTTGCTTTAGCATGGTTGCTTGCAGAACTATTTGTAGCTCCCTGTGCATTCCCAAAGTCAGCTATATTAAGCAGAGTAATAGGGGAAACCTGACTGGCTTTGCTTGGAGGGAGCTCAGGAGTGGTATCATTAGTGCTCAGTCACAGTTAAGGAGCTCATCTGACCCTTGTAAACCCAAGCACATTAGCCACTTGTTCTCAGTGCATGGAGCTCTTTCCTGCCCAGTGAGCTTGTTGGTCAGGCACTGGAGCTTTCTCAAAAAGAAATCAAGGCTGTAGAAAACCCACCCCATCTTGTGTGATTTGCATTGATTTAAAATTTAGCACTGCCTCAGTTATACTTACTGCCAATTCACTGAGGTCTTTAACATCACAGAGAGCTCTCACAGTCTAACACTGGTAGTACAGTTCCTGTAAGGGCATATGCTGTGGTTCTGAACTAGTAAGGATTCTGCTGAGCAATTGACTATTACAGCTATCCTGTGTGGATAAATCTAAGTCTCTTCATACGGAACTAAACAGAGTTATTTAGACATAGGCCAGTTGAAAGAACATACAGTTCTTTTCCAGTACAGTGATCACCAGTCACCTTTTCTAATAACACCAATGAATCATGCCAGAAAGAAATCTGAGCTTAAATGTTCTGCTTTTAAATACCTAAAATGTACATACAATGTATTAGGTACATAGCAGTTGTACCTATTATTTCACAACCAGGTTGTTGTGAAACTCATCCCTGTGTCTAAGTGTTATTGCTAGTTAGGACTTGAGTCAAATTGAGGGCGATCATAATCTAAATGATAAACCAACCTCCTCTCAAGTAATGTGAATATTACTATAAATTTCCATAGAGCTTACAAAGGGGTACGTCTTGCCAGTTGTTACTACTACTTTTGTTTTTCAGGCTACATCTGTGAGAGGAAGGACCTACTGGTAAATGGCTGTTGTAATGTCAACGTGCCCAGTACAAAGCTGTACAGCTGTGAGAGCTGCCTTCCCAACGGCTGCTGCAGTATCTATGAGTACTGTGTTTCCTGTTGCCTGCAGCCCAGCAAGGTGCAGAGTTGTTCTCCTGCTTTTCAGGTGTTCTCAGTTGCTCGGGTTCCTCTGTCCCTTAAAGTGCTTGTTTGTGAGGGACTTTTTCCTTAGAGGGGACAGTTCCTTTTTGCAGAAGGATGAGGAAAAGCTGCATATGGCAAGCTATAAATAAAGCTTCAAAAAAAGTTCATCCTTCCCACCATTGAGAGGAAATATTGGGAGCCTTGCAAGATGTTTCAGCACCAGGGGGATTGTGTTTGTTGAAGGGAATTGATTGCAGAAAAGCTATTCCAGCCAGTATTAGTTTTGCAATTGGTACTCCCCTGTGTTCTGTTAGCTGCTCTAGACTCTCTTCCTACTGTTGGTTCTGTGATGTGTTAACCTTTCAGTGCTTGCTAGAAGTTCTAAGTGGAGTTGCTTACTATTCCTCTGAGACTTCAGCTGTGTAGGTTAAGATGGGTTTTGGTTACTCCTTGTTGAAATACAGTTTTTTGTTTTGTTGCCTTTTTTGCTGACCACTTCAGCAACATCTTCTGGAACGTTTCTTGAACCGGGCAGCTATTGCTTTCCAAAACCTCTTCATGGCAGTGGAAGATCACTTTGAGTTGTGTCTGGCAAAATGCAGGACTTCATCACAGGTAAGACACAAATACATGCCCAGTGCTCAAAAATGGAAAAATACCCTTTGAAAACGGGGCTTAGTCCTGTGAATGGCTGGTCTGTTGTGCTTGTGTGCACACAGGCACTTTCATAAACACTGAAGCTATGGCTGAGAGCTAATGTGAGGCAGTATCCTTTGATTTGTAAGGTGAAATGGTAACACCAGGAGTAAATGAAGGGCAAAGAGCATATTTAGAGCAGGATAAGTTGTACACTCTCTTTAGAAAAGTGTTACTTATCTGAAAAGAGACTAGCTGAGTTCAGTGACTAGTGAAGATCTTGGATGAGTTCTGGGGAAGCTCTCATATTGTCAGAATTGTTCCCAGTAGTTAAAGGATGCTATTAACTTTATGGTACAGTTCTAGACTTACCATACACTGACAATCATCTGCATAGGAACTCAAAAAGTATGTTTTAATTTTAGTTTATTTTTAAGAACAGATGAACTTCTGTTACCTGTGGGATTTTATTGGAGGCTCTGGTCTAAGCAAGCTCTCAGTGCTGTTGGAGATGTCATACAGCTTGAGTATTTAGTATAGTAATAGGGATAGATTGCAAACAAAGGACATAGTTCCAAATGTCTCCAAAGTTGTTGTATTTTTATCCATAATACCTGAACTCTAGCTTTTTCAGGAAAAAATGCACGCGTCTCAAACAGCAACTGTATTATGTCTTGTTTGCTTAGGACATTTGACAGTACTGCTTAAGTATATTTTAATACAGAATCTGTTCCCACATGCTTGGGTAGCCTTCTGAAAAGGAAGTTCTGGGTGTGGTTCAACAATAAAGCACTGTAATAAAGAACCTGTCTTTTACATGTTAGGAGTGCAGTGTTGTTTGACTCCAGATGACACTCTACTGTGTAGAATGTGTATAAATGCTCCGGGTCCTGGCCTCGGTGAAGGGTTGTGTTGTTTCAGTATGTATGTTCTGATAAAGCTTCTCCTTCTCTTCCCGACAGAGCGTGCAACATGAGAACACCTACAGAGATCCAATTGCAAAATACTGCTATGGTGAATATCCCCCCGAGCTTCTGCCTGTTTGAAAGCTGCATGATCTATGCAACAAAGGGGAGGAACCGGAGACTAGAATCCAAAAGAGCAAGACAACACCTCTTGCTTTACAGAAGCCTCAGTGTAAAAGGCTGATGTTTTTTCTGGGGATAAATCCAGGGGTGTACAGTGTAAGCAAGGGACTCCAGGATTGAATCTTGTTTTCTTCAGTTTGTTATGCACCTGCTTTAGGTACTAGTGTTGTACTAGTGCTGTTTTTGAATACTTTCTGTACATTTTAGGATGCACAGAGTTGATCCAGGCTATAAAACATGAGAAAAATACCTAATGTAGCTTTTCAGCTGGACATGAAGGTTCAGTTGTATCTCTGCAGTCCAGAGGCTTCCCAGTGTGACAGTAATAATGGGAGGATTTTTGCTTGTAGAGATTAAAGCATGTTTGTTGTGCTTCTCTCTCTGGAGCATTCCTTGACATGCATCGTGTACACTACATATGTAATTATGAATTATTTATTCATTTTCTATGGATTACTAGCTGAAAGTATTGATGCTTTGCATAGCTAGTTGTTGATGCCTTTCAGTCCCTGTTTTATTACGTCAGGTAGAAAGGGTATTTTAGATCCTGGATAAAATTGTTTTTTTTCCCTCCTTAGTCTAAAGGAATTGTATTGGGATTTGTCACTAGAGTGGTTATGTTCCTCTTAGTGAGTTTAAAGTATTCAGAACTCCAATGGAGTTGTTATTCTGTCAAAGTCCCATAGCATGAGAGAAGAGCAGGGATCTGCCTAGGGTGGGATGTTTATTGTCTTTAAACATTTTCCTTGTTACTCTGCAACAGTTTCCTCAAAGAGGAGTCTTACTTTTGCAAACAGCTCTCTGCTAATCCACTTTCTGACAGGGAGCGCTGAAGATTTGTCTGCTTGAACTTGTTCAGGCCTTGGTAGTTTAAATGTACTTTGCTCCTGGTTGTGCAGGAGGTAAAAGGGTGGAGTTCTAGGATTTCAGTTTAATGATGTCCTTGTGCGTGGAGTAATTGGAATGTCAGAACATGGACCAAGCCCTCCTCTGAGGACAACTGTGTTGCATGAGTTCAGTTAAACAGCAATGATGGCTTTGATTTGCCTTTTGATATGTTTGCTACTCTGGGATTTCAGTCTGATCAGAATGGCCCTAGAACAGGGGTGGTTCTCCCACAATCTCTCCTAGCTCTCTAAGGCTGCAATTGAAACTGTCTCCTTCTTAAGGCAACACAGAGAAGATGGGTAGAGAACCTGTAAAATGCTGACTAAATTTGTGCTCCCCCTGCAAGTCACTGCAAAGTCCAACTGTCAGACAAAATCGGGCTGTTCTTTTCTATATGCAGAGCCTCATTTCTTTTGTTTTAACCCTGTCCATCTCCTCCGTGATTTTGACTTTGTGGCTGTGTGTTTGTTTAAACTGGTAGTTCCCATTCCCTGACTGAAATAAAATATACAGAAGCTTAAACCAAACCAACCCAAGCCAAACACACACACACAACCCCCCAAAAAAATCAAATAAAACCACAGTGGTGCAAAATACCTGTAGAATACTATTGCAAGTACGTAAGATACAAACTAGTATTACAGCCATCTGATAAAATCTACTTGCATTGTTTTCTTTGTTCTTTCCCAGAAGCAATCAAGTGAGATAATGGTTCCGTCAGCAGATTCTCTTGAAAATCTTGTTTTTCCAAAAGCTTAAAAGCTTTAGCATTAGCAGTTTATCCAGCTAAACTCTATCTCCCCTTTGCTGCCACCCTATGGCAACTTCCTGCAGCAGACACGATACAGTGTGAAGATGCAGTGTGAAATGCTGTCTTCAGAGGGTAGCAGAGGTTACTTCTCTTCAGTGTTAAACATTCTTCACCCCTGTTCCAGCACTTCCTAACTGTTTTCCTCAGGGAAGGCCATCAGGTTGGTCTGTTCTATTATTCCTGCTGAGATGTATTCCAGCACTTCATGTTTTGCACCACTACTGATAAGATCAAGATACTGATGGCTTGTTCTTGCTTTCTTTTCCAACTTGGTATTAATTCCTTAGCAGGTGATACCACTGCTTGGAGCAGTAATTGTAATAAATCATAAGAACCATCCTAATTCAGGCAATGTTAGTGGGAATTCCTGGCCTAGAAAAACAGGATGTGATCAGAAGTGCATTGTGATCGTTGTTCATTCAATGAAACAGAAACTGCATCTTCCCTCCCTGGTTGTTGAGCTGTTCAACTAGTGTCTGTTATATATTGAATCATTAAAACTGTATCTTTGTTTCCAGACTACTGCCTGGTCTCATGTCTTTTCTTGAACTAAAAGGAAACTGTACCAAACTGCAAGTTTGAAGAATGCAGTGGAGCAGAGAGGGCCACTAACTTGAATACATGTAATAAAGACAAGCAAGTAGAGGCAAAGAGGAGATCTGTTTCATTTCAATTAAAAAAAAAGAGCATGCTTCTCTCAATGGTGCACAGAAAGATCTGGCCCTTTGCAAAAGTGGATCAAGCAGGGAAAGGAACACAAATGAGTGCTTCATATTGTGAAGATATGGTGGGAAATGTTGAATCTGTGTTGCCTGGTAAGACTTTTGTGTGGTTTAAGTGATGTCCATCCCTCTTGCAAAAAGGCTTGGTGATTCTGTGTTTGCCAGATAAGAGATTAAGGTTGTTGGCTTGGTTTGGCAGCAGATTTAATGAGAACACTTCATCTGCAGAGGTCAATGCCGAGGTTCTGTAGTAGGACAGGATGGGTTCTGTGCTCCTTGAGTCCTGTAGTTTACAGAAATATTAGTGCTAGTGAAAAATGGTAGCAGCTGGCATCTGATAATGAACAGGTATCATATTTATCTGTACCAATTTGGAAACTGATCTATGGCAGAAGAGCAAAGCAGTAGCTGCAGTCCTTGCTGAGTTTAAACTTGAGCCACTGGCCTTGAAAGAAGCTGTTGTACTGATCCTTTGGAATGGTACATGGAGAACTGGATAAAAATTCTTACTGTGATGGGCTGGAGTTCTAAAAAGGTAAAAGCAGATTTCTGGCTTGAGGCCAGAACTAAACAGTTGATGAGTTGGGATCACTCTTTCTGCAGTCTTAGAATCTCACTCAATGTAGTGGCAATTCTTCACTCTCTTGTATGTGTTTGGGCTCTAATTGCTTGGAGAACTTTCTAACAAACTATTAGGAACCAATTTCTGAATATAAAGCACTAAGCACAGCAAATCCTAAACATAAGCCTCTGTTCTGATATGCTTTTAAAAAGCAAATGCTTTTTTTCCTTGTCAATTAGCTGGATGGGCTTTAGGATTTGTTGTGTCTTGTGCTAGTCACTTAAACTGCAAACACACTAGATCCTTTTACCTAGCACCATAATGTGATATTTGTTCTTCAGTTATTCTAATCAGGCAGAGGTGGGGGAGGAAGTGAAAAGGAATTTTCTAACTCAGCAAGTTCCACAAAAGATGTTGCTCAGCAAATTATTGGTGCTTTAATAACAGCCCTCTGCATTTCTTTACAACCCAAGGCAAACAACTATATGCATGAGGGGGAAAAATGCCAACTTCAAAACCTGCAGGGAGTGATGGGAAAGTACTTAGTTCTTCATTTTTGATCCATGTCTAATTAAACAGACAGTTCTACCTACTATTTTTGCTCAAATAAGATCTGACATGTAGCAACATGCATATTGCCTGCATGATGTCTTCCGTTTTCAAGGCAGTCATATGGCCACGGATTTTTTCTTAGAAATCAAGGTTTAGTAGCTTAGTTGTCTTAAAGAAGCGTTCTCAGGATGCATTCAGACTGAAGCATGTTTGCTGTACTCTGCTGTTTTGCCTATGGTAAAATAACACAGTGTTGCAGAGTAGAGAAAATGAAGAAATTAATTCTGGCTGAAAAGCTTGCCTTGTGGAAGCTGTTCTGATATGTATTTCAATTAAGGGGATAGAAGACCACAGGCTATAGTTGCAAATAGAACAATAGGCAAGTGTTAGGTTTTCTATAGAGGAGATTACAATTAAATTTGTTTCTACTGTTAATGGTTGAAATAAGGTCTAGCACCTGATTTCTTGCTAAGTTAATGAAAACCAGCTCTCATTTATCCTGTATGTTTTCTGTCTCTCTGCATGCACCTACAAAGTAAGGCACACTAATAGGCATCAAGGTGAATGGGAATCACATCATTTGCCTGCATTCTGTTTCTTCCCTGCACAAAATTGTGTTTAGATTTAATCTCCTTAGAGCAAAAGGATAACTTTACATTTGTAGTTTCTATGGCATCTGACTGTGGCCTCACATGGAGCCTTTAATGTACCTATTGATAGGAATCATACCTCTTACACAGATATGAAATGCAGCCATTTGAAGAAGTGGGATAAGGTTGGGTATAAGTCACAGGTGTAACATGCTTATTTTAATACATACAAAAGAGTAGCATCCTAAGCTATTTACCTTATCCTATGCATAAAAACACATCCATCAGGTGTGTAAGATGACACTGGGTATGCATGTACACATCTTCCAACTGAAAAACGTAGATTAGTAGCAAACTACAGTTACAAACCTGCTTAGTAATAAAAGTTGTGCTGAGGAAGTAAACATGTTCATACATGGAGGATCTGAATCGCTGAGGATTTAAAAATACACGTTAAAGGATAAAATCCCAATCATCTGTAGTAGCAAATACATACAGAAGTATGAGGAAGCAAAGGAAAAATACCTCTTCCGAGGTGTTTTTGTCTGCTCAATTTGCATCAGCTCACAAGCTTACCCCTAACGCGTCTCAACCGGTGCAACAGCGAGGCTCCGCCAGCAGAGGTTACCACAGCATGCCGATAGAAGCCGGTCTCCTCCCTGGCAGATGGCCCTTAGAGCTGCGTTTCACTTGGCAAAACCTGCAAGGACAGAGCACAACTCATTGCACTGCTCTAGGAAAACCTGTGGAGAGTCTGGAATTACTGCTGCGCCTTTGGACGGGCCGCCCAAACCCACGGAATGAACTCGCCTTTGAGGGCTGACTGGGTTTTCAACCCGTTGGGCAGTCGCGGAGTGCTAATGTGGGGAAAAAAGCCGTGGCATTGTGGCACGCTGACTGACAACCGTTATACTAAAATAATAAGATAAAAAATCCCGTTCTGACCCTCACAGGAGGGGGAAAAAAAGGAAAGCCCTGCCCTTTCCCGCTGTGCCTGTCATGGCGGCCCTGCTCACGCCACAGAGCAGCCGCGCTCTCACAGCGCGGTGATAAAGGCTCCTCCCCTCCAGCCAGGCTCCGGAGGTGTGAAGGGACGGCTCCGCGGTCGAGGTCGAGGCAGGGGCTGGCCGGGAGGCGATGCCGGCTGAGGAGCGCTGCCGGCTGAGGAGCGCTGCCGCAGGGTGACCCCGCCGCCTCCCGCTCGGCGCCGTTTACCTCCTTTTTCTCCTCACGCCACTCCGTGCCCTCCATTAACTGCCCGGGCCGCGCTGAAGGGAGCCCTGCGCTGAGGCGGCCGCTGAGGTAACGGGCCGGGCCCCGGCCGAGGCTTGTGGCTCTCAGAGCGGTCTCCTGCCGTTCACGGAGCTCCGTAACCGCGGCCTTCCGCTGTAGCGCCCGTTCCTCGCCGCGTTCCCCGATGGCTGCTCTGGCAGGATGAAACGAGGTGAGGCAGCGTCGCGATGGCTGCTCCAACGCGTGTCTGCGCCATGTTGCTGCTTTGTGTCAGCTTTGCCTTCTCCCTTCCCCTGTTTTGCCTCGGGCCTTGTCTGTAGTTACTGGAGGTTGAAACAGGGGAGTGGAAATTCTCCCTTCTCGTTGAAATGTTGCTTTTCTAAGTAGGGAGAGGTAGCGCTTTTGAGATGGGAGGGCATCTCACTGTGCTTGCCTTCTCAGTTTCTCTTCGACTCCACTTTGGTGCTAGTTGTAGCTTTCCGATGTCTCAGTCCACCACTGCTTTGGGTATTGATGCAAAATTCCGTACTACTGTGGTTGCAGCGTGTGTTAAAAGTCAAACCCATCTGAAGTTTCAGGAGAGAAAACTCAGCATGAGCTTTCAGATTAGAGATTGGGTGAGCTCTTTTGCAGCAGTAAGAGCTGGTGCACCCATTTGAAGGTTACTGAAAACCCTTAGCTTACTGAAGAAAACATTTGCCCTAATTGTGATATCCTAGCTTGCTGTCAACAGCACAGGAGGCTTGCTTGCGGGAGAAATAGGATTTATGAAGAAGAAAGGTGTAGGTTGTATCAGGCTTCACTGTAAAAACGTTACACTGAGATTTGTTGTAGTACCAAAAATAGCACCAAGATCAATTAATTTTTTAGTAGTTAATGTAAATTTTATTTCCAAATGAGCCTAAATGTGTTGTACCCATGAACCTTCATCTCACTGTACGGAGGTGCAGCCCTATACTGGAAAGTAATTCTAAGGAAATATATGAACAGAGATCTTTGCTTAGCGACACCTGGGAAGACTCAGTGCTCAACATGC